AAGGCGCGCCAGAACACAGCCGTCTATGATCCTACTCTTGTCTATGTTATTGAGTACTGCACGGTCTTGGCTCTTCGTGACCGCGAAACCATCGAGCTGTTGGGCAAGAGGGTCATTGGAGCTATCCACACCATCGTGCGCGACTTCAACAACTACCACCCCATTGTTATTGAGCGAGCGACCTACTATTTGTTTGCTTTGCTTCAAGCTAGCTATGTAAGTCTTCGGTTGAATGCTTACCCTCATTGCAGAAACGAGAGACTAACGACATACCAGGACTTCGACCTCATCCGGGTCCCCATCCTACTTCACACCGTTTCCCTCTTTTCCAAGGGGATCCTGCTCAAGACATCCTCTCTTGTTCTTCGCGGACTTAAGGAGTGCACAGAAAAGCCATGCCCTCTTAAGAGCGAGATGATGACTTCGCCCGACTTCTGGGTGATCTTGCGTACTTTGGCCACCAACTCCGACTCGGCGCCTGCGGTATTCGAAATCCTCGAAAGCGGAGTGTCGGGCACACCATCGGCGATTATAGCAGACAACTACGAGGCGGCAATTGGGCTGCTCAACGAGTTCGCTTCCATGGCTAGCATCGGTGCGATTGAGGAGCAGAGGGCGGATAGCACTGCAAAGAAGAGCGGCAGGAAGCCTATCAGACCTGTCAAGCAGGACAAGAAGCCTAGCGAGAACGCAGTGGTTGCGCGGGGCATCAAGGCCATCCACATTATTTCGCAAATGACGGAGCGTATTCCGCATTTAATGAAGCAGTCGCATCTGGAAAGCAACGAGGGTAAGTTACGAAAATAATGGTCTGAACGAGAATCCACAACAATGGAGTGCTAACGCAAGAACAGCATGGTCCGCCTACTGGCTACCCATCTTCAAGTCGCTCACCACGCAGTGCACCAACCCCTGCCGTGAAGTCCGGCACCTGGCCTTTGCTTCCATGCAAAGGTCCCTCCTCTCGCCAGAGCTCACCTCGGAGGACCACTCAGAGTGGACAGCTATCTTTGGCGAAGTTCTGTTCCCTCTGATTCTGGTATTGTTAAAGCCAGAGGTGTTCTCGTCCGACCGCGACGGCATGAGCGAGACGCGCGTGCAGGCAGCGTCGTTGCTGTCCAAGGTCTTTTTGCAGTATCTCGTCATGCTCTCGCAGTGGGATGGCATGTTGGATCTGTGGTTGAAGATCATTGAGATCATGGATCGGTTGATGAACAGTGGACAGGGAGATAGCTTGGTAAGTCATACCCAACATGCGCCTGGGAATTCCGTGAGGAACAAACGAGTCAAAAGCTAACGATCTTGCGTGCGCTGTAGGAGGAGGCTGTACCAGAGAACTTGAAAAATGTGCTGCTGATCATGTCGAGCAACGGCTACCTCGTTCCACCAAGCAAGAACCCGGAGCGCAAAGAGCTGTGGGATGAGACGTGGAAGAGGATCGATCGGTTCTTGCCCGAGTTGAGGAAGGACCTGGCCTTGGATGAGCCTGAGCCTGAGCCTGCGCCTGAGCCTGTGCCTGTGCCGGAGGCTGTGCCGGAGCCTGTCGCTGAGGCGGAACCCAAGGAATCTAAAGTCCCAGCAGAAACGGCTGATGTCGCCCTGGCGGTGGAGGAGGAAAAGAAGGAGGAGGCTACTACAGCTTGAGGTGGATAGAGAGAGATGGTGAAGCTTAATGTGGGTAATCTTGGAGTCACGTAGGCTCATTTTTCATTATTATAGAAGGCGAGGCCAAGACAGATCATTTTTGGCTGGGTTTATCTGTTATCTAGAAGTCATCTAGTATTTTTTTTGTCGAAAGACGGTGTTGATGCTGAAGCTGGACTTTGAAAGGGGTCGTTGTTTATTTCTCATGCACCGTGTGGCACACCGTGTGGATACTGTCCACCGACGTAACTGCACTTCGTCGACAATCAATCGTGCAACCTGCAAAGTATAAAACGTAAACCTCCCAAGTTTTCCAAACTCTGGCATAACAGTGGTTTATTCGTCACATTCAAGCACGAATTTTCTTGTCAATTACAAGGTTGCTGCGGACTGAGTCACCGGCGTGGTGGGAAGGAACAATCATCGGTCGGCCTCTCACAGCAACTCAAAGCCTGCACTCCACAATTTCAGTTTGTATCTCACGTTGACGACAAGACAGCCGTGTAAACGCGAAGTCACAACCATCCATCGATAAAATCAACCCACGCCTGATGCTCTTTCGTCTCTCACGCTTACCGCTGAAACGATTTCATCCTTCTCCCAATTTCCTCATGAAGCGCAAGTTAGGCGACTTGTCCTCACCACCCCCGCCATCCGACAACAAGCTCGAACAACAAACCCTAGCTCATCTTGAAGCTCAAGCGAGCGACTCAGCGAAGAGGCAGGCCATAAGAGCCACCACCCCTCCCGTCATTAAGGCTGCTAGAACCAGACGACAAACAGTCATGGCCGACAGCTCAGTTTTCACGGACCAGAGCATCCCGCTCAACGCGGTTGAGGCCCAGCTCAAAGGTCTCCTTGTCGACGTCGCCGAGTACATCAACAAGTCCCAAGCCGCCGAAGTCGAAGCAGAGAAGGAGGGCAAGAACGTCAACGAGCCCGTTATCCTGCGCTGGGCAGGCGGCTGGGTCCGCGACAAGCTGCTCGGGACCGAAAGCCACGACATCGACGTGGCCATCAACAACATGACAGGCGAGGCCTTTGCGCTGCGCCTGCGCGACTACTGCGACGCCGACCCGGCCCATCGGGAGCGCCACTCCATCGGTCCCCAGGACGTGGGCAACCTGCACAAGATCGCGCGCAACCCGGACAAGAGCAAGCACCTGGAGACGACCACCATCAAGCTCTTTGGCCTGGACGTCGATTTTGTCAACCTGCGCAAGGAGACGTATACCGAGGACAGCAGGAACCCGCAGGTCGAATTCGGTACGGCCGAGGAGGACGCGCTGAGGAGAGATGCGACGGTCAATGCGCTGTTTTACAATTTGCACACGGGCAAGGTGGAGGATTTCACGGGCGGCATGAAGGATATGGACAGGAAGCTGATCAGGACGCCGCTGGAGCCGCTGCAGACGTTCATGGATGATCCGCTGAGAGTGTTGAGGCTCATCAGGTTTGCTAGTAGGCTCGGCTTCACGATTGACGAGGAGGCAAAGGCGGTCATGGGTGATGAGAGGGTGTTGGAAGCTCTCAAGCTGAAGATTAGCAGAGAGCGAATCGGTGTCGAGTTGGAGAAGATGCTCAAGGGTATGTCTATTTCCCTTTTCCTTGTCAATCTACAACCTCTTCAAGAATACTAACCTTCCCTCGCCAGGTCCCGACCCCCTCTCCTCCCTAACCTACATCAACGACCTCAACCTCTACCATACCCTCTTCACCGACTCCGCGCGCGCGGACTTCCCACGTCCTGATCTCACCTCCTTCCCCATCGCCTACAAGACCCTCCACTCCCTCTCCACCACCCTCGCCACCCCAGGCTCCATCTACTCCCTCCTCGTCACCTCTCCGGAATCCGCCTACTTCTCCTGGAACCTAGCCGCCCTCGTCCCGTTCGCTCCTCTGCCCGATGACCCTCCCCTGAAGGGCGGCAAGCCCGCCCCGCCGCTCGCCACCCAGGCCGCCCGCGAAGGCTACCGCGCGCCGAACAAGCTCATGGATGTGATCACCGCGTCGCACAGACACCGACAGGCGATTCTCGCTATGCGCGACTTGGTCGTTTGTCCGGCCGCCGGCGACGAAAACAAAAAAATGGAGAGGGACAGTCTGGGGATGCGTATCCGGGAATGGGATTCCAGGCCGGGCGTCAACGCGAACTGGCGGCTGCAGGTGTTGTACGCGGTGCTTGTTGATGTTGCTGAGAGGACTTCCGGGAAAGGTAAAGAGACGGTGGAGGACGTGCTGAAGGAGTGGCAGGCGTTTTTGGATCATCTGGTGGAGATGGACCTGATGGATGCGCCGAGCGTGAAGCGGATCATTGATGGCAAGCAGCTGGCGAAGACGCTGGGTGTGAAGCCCGGGGTTTGGATGGGTAAGGCACTGGAGGTGGTGATGGCGTGGCAGTTGAGGAATCCGACGGTTAGCGATCCGGAGGGTGCGGTGGAGGAGGTTAGGAAGAGGAAGGAGGATTTGGGGATTCAAGGAATTTGATTCAAAGGAAGAATAAGACACTACTGGCTGTAGCTCGTGGGGTAGATACGCCTGGGTGAAGGAAATGATCAAAGCGTGTCACGGTAGATATCGTCGTCAAGTATGTGATGATCTACTGCTGGACCTAGCATACTAGAGGTTACAAATACCATACGAAAAAGAAATATCAATGATTCTGGAGTGGAAAATATACTTTTCTGGGATTGTATTATCGAATGAGAATATACTGCCCATCTATGTTCTTCATTTCATAATATCCACTACAAGTTTGCAAAAGACATGATGACTGCACTTTTGGTACTCGTGTATCAGCGCCCGATTCAAACCCGAGCAGGAAAAAAGCATTTGCACACATTCAAAAAGTAAGGCAAGACGGGAAATATCAAAGAACCGGCAGTGAAATGCAAAAAGGAAATGGAATATAGTCTTGAGAAAAAACCAAAAAGAGAATTTGTTATGATCCGACTGAGGCTCGATCTCAGGACCTTCAGTGTGTTAGACTGACGTGATAACCAACTACACCATCGGACCAGTTGTGGATATCTGATTTAGTAGGGACTAGTGCATATCTAGTCACACGTGTGGTCCACAAAACACATTTGACAGTTCTTCCCCATCGACATCCCGAAACTACAGTTTTGCAAAGAAAAAAAAATCATCGCTGATATCTATGGCTGTGCTAAAACGCTATATATGAATGACATGGGACCTTTCAGAATGCATCATCTTCCACTCAAAAAGTCGGAGCAATCCTTGCACTCATCCCCCCTCTTTCCCCCGTTCCATTCGCACCAGCACCGACGGTAGTGCCTGTTCCCAACCTAAACGCCCTCAACGAGTTCGTCGACAGCTTATTGCTCACATGAGTATTACTCCTCGACAGCGTTTGCGCCTGCGTTTGCGCCTGTGTTTGCGCTTGCCCCTGACCCTGAACTGAACGCCCCGGCACCGACCTCATACTCATCGCCCTACTCAGCGCCCTTTGCCTACCAGTAGACATACCACCGTTCATACCACCGTTGTGACTCAGCGCAGACATGGATGACAAAGGAGCAGGCGGCATTGAGGTTCCTCTAGAACGCACATTAAGCTTGCCCATCATCACATTCATCGCAGTAGCGGCATCAACGGGAGCAGGAGGTGGTGGCGGAGTAGGCGGTGCTCGGACGGGATATCGCGTGTCGTGATGGCTGTGAACACTGTGACCACCGCTCGGCAGGACGGGGAAGGGGGACGAGGAAGTGACTGAGGCGGTGGAACTTCTTCTGTTGAGACCTCTTCCGCTCATGAGTCTCTCCAATGACGATGCTCGCGACCTGTTGTATGCGTAGAGGTTCTGCGCTGCGGTCATGGGTGTTCGCATGCTCGCTTTCACGGAAGGTGACCTGGTTGATCTTCCGCTGGAGGGTGGTGTCGGTGGTCGACTGCCGGCTTGCATCATCGCCGCTTGCTGCTGCTGCTGCTCTTGTTCTCGTTGCTCTACGGTAGCTTGCAATTGCTCAAAGGTCATCGGCATTGAAGGCATTTTGCTCAGTCGCCTAATCGCACGCATGTTTTTATCGATGAACGTCGACATGGCCCTGACCGCCATACTGTTATCATGTGTAGCCATTGCCGTAGTCTCCGTGGGCGGCGCATCCGCTCTCGCCATGTGCATTGCGTTGAGCGATTGGGGATGAGGCTTGGGCTGGGAGGCATTCCGAACACTCGTTTGGACGCGGCTCATAACCGCATCAAAGTCCACGCCAGCGTTTTGGCGCTGAGCTGGAATGAACGCCGGCGCAGCGCCCAAGACAGCCTCTTGTGTCAAGATGAAGAATGAGCCGTCCTGAATCTTCATGCGCACCAGGTTCCATCGTGCCCTGGCGGGGTTCCTCTCAATTTCCGGCTGGTAGACCTTGTGCTGAGCAAGTTTGGCGTAGAAAATCTCGAGTCGCTTCGCCATACGTTCGAGGGTCTGCATGAGGAAGCTGGAAAGGGCAGTCACCCGTTGATCATCAGTAGCCAAATCCATCGCCATGATGCTTCCAAAGGCGTCCATGCCATGACAGGCTTCCTCGCGAATGTCCTCCAGCAGCTCGACATCAAGTTCAACACTTTTGGCCGCATAGTCCATGATGCCCCTCTCGGCAAAACGAGCACCATTGTTGTCGCTGACAAATTGTCCAATGAGCGTCACTTCCTGAGATGTGGCAACCGCGTCCGGCGATGTCTTTGCTCGTGCAATAGTACCGAGCACGTCTGGAAGCCTGGCTTCGGCGCCGACAGCCGCTGAGTCTGCAAGTATAAAGGAGAGCTTCAGGACCAATTCCTGAAGCTTGGGCCCAAAGAGCGCGGAGAATCCACCCTGAAGGAGACGCGACTGATACTCGTAAAAAGTTCGAACACCCAAACCGACATTGACCAGGTGTTCGCGGGACCATATGTTGACAGCGCCCCGGAAGAAATTGTCGTTCGTCCCATCATCATCCACACCCATGATCTCGTGCATTTGGAACTGATGAGCTACAAGTGTTTCTACCGCTGTACGCAGATACGCAGCCCAGAGATCATACAGATCACCGAGCTCTGGGCAGCGGTGAAACTCAGGCTTGGGTGCAAGCTGGCCGACAAAATACTTCGTAAGCAAGCTATTAACCTCGGGGTTGTTGGTATGCGCCAGGTTGTCAAACGATTTGGAGCAGTCGCCGCCAGCGTTAGATTTGAGGATGAGTGTGCCTCCCGGGTGCATAGGACAGAAATCCGTAACGTCATAGGCACTCCCATGAACGCCGATCCAGATGCGACCACCCGGGCGGTGACCGGTTTGACGTGCTAGCTGGGAAAGAGGAATGGTAAGAAGGTTGCAGGGCAGCGGCTTGGGCGTCATGAAAACGTCCAGCATAAAGCGACGTTCGGCAAAGGCCTTGTTGATGATCACTTCAACAGTCTCCATTGTAGCGCTGCAGTGGTTGTACAAGGCCTTGCGAATACCGTTCATGACTGAGTCAAAAACAGCGACAGACCCGCAAACGTACAAGTAGCCTCCGAGTCCGCCTTGTTTCTTGGACATAACAAGCTCGGAAATCGTGGCAGCTTGCTCCACTACGAGAGCGTCGATATACCGAGGTGGCATCTCTTTCTCAACAAGATCGTGGGTCCTCTTGTCATATACGAGACCTCTTGTATCGCGGGAAAATGCCAGATGAGCCTCCATAAGGCCGGCATCAATGTAGTCCCGTAACTCATCCTCGTAGCAGAACTTGTCGCGCGACTGAACTCCGAGATAGAGCAGATCCCTTCCAGCCGAGTTCTGATGAGAAGCGAGCCTTGCCTGCCAGAAGCTGCGGAAAGGAGCAATGCCGCTACCGCCAGCAAAGTAGGCACAGGGCGCTGCACGATCGATAGGAAGTTGGAAGTTGAGGGGCCGGGACACTCCGATCAGGATCTCTTCTTCTGCCTCGATGAACTCATCGCTGGATAAAACAAAGGGGTTAAGGAAACCACTTCCGACACCTGCGCATGCAATTTCCTCGTCGCCGGCAAATGTGGAACAAAGCTTGTACTCGGCACGGGAAATGGTCAAGTCGACAGTAGATGGAAGTAAATCCCGCGAGTAAGTGGAAATCGAGTAGGTCCTAGGCACTTCGACAGCAACGAAATCGGCAAGCCACGCCAAATCACCTGTAAGGTCAAATGCACGATCCCAAATGGTAGGATCGGTATCGGCCACTGCACCCTGGAGCAAGTCGCCCAGCGTTCCCTGAACAGGCCATTCGTCGGTGGCTAGAACCTGGAGTACTGTATTAGATGACGCTCGAAGCAGGTCATGGACTTTGAGAGCAAGGTCCTTGGTGATTGGAGCAATATGGCCTCTCCTCAAGATATCCTTCACGATCAACACTGGGGCAGGTGAATGTGAAACTGCACCCAAGTGCTGGGAGAAGCGTTCCCACTTCCGGTTCAGAGCGACTCGAGTATCTAGGTAATCTCCTAGCCCGAGCGCTGCGGCAACCTTGGCGCATTCTTCCCAGCTGTTTAGAGGCATCACGGCAAGTCGATCGCCTGGCTGCCAAGTGATGCCCGTGTTTTCTATATCGAGAGTTACCATGGCGAGAGAGCGATTAGGGTCCGAATCAACGAATGAACGGCTTAGGACTCGAGACCGGTACCGACATTCCTCAAAGGTGCCGCGCATCTCGTGAGGTTCGACGGAAATATTGCCGCGATACGGCTCAAGGCGCTCTTTCATGGCCTCCGAGAACTGCTTGTGCGTTTCCTCCCAAGGCCTGGCGTTTGAGTCTGGAGCGCCTGATAATCCATTGGTTTCGCTCCGGCCAGTCTTGCCCGCAACCTCAAGAAGACCGAATACCTTGTATCGATGGGTACCCATGAAACCTCGTTCGCCAGTATAGGCTTCAACAATGCCATCAAGTACACCCATAAGCCTTGGATCTCCTGACTGCTGAACAAACTCGGGAATACGGTAGTGGTACTCAATGGCAGCAATAAAAGCCCTCCAGTTGGAAGGCAACCATGCGCGCAAGTGGATGCCCTCAGCGCCAAGGAAAGAGTTGTACTTTTTGCGACCCAGAAAGGCATCCATGACCAGATACGGAGGGAACTGTAAACCAGATGAAGCCGGGCAACGCTTGCGCTCAGGGGTGCTGAAACCTTGCCCACCGCACCCACTGGTGACCTGGGACGTAATTCTCTCCAGAGTACGGGTTGGTGTTAATGGTGTGAAAGGCGTTGGGCATGCGCTCGAGTATTTCCTTGAGGCGGACTAGTTCCCGTAGCAGCCCCTCGGAATTCCTGTTCATCACATGTTCCTGGCAGCTGGCAATGGCATCGGGCCCATGTTGAAAAGAGGCTGATGTATCCGCACAGCCTTTTTGGAAAGCCATTTCTGTTCTCTCGCCAAAGATGGGCCACCGGGTTTCCATGTTATCGAATCTGCCAATATAAGGATACGTAGAATTAGGATCTCTGAGCTTCATGTTGAAGGAAGTCTGGTCGAAAAATGTGAGATGTGGAATGGGTCGGCCGATTCGGTGGGAAACCTGGAGAAATGGGACAGCGATGCATCGCGGTATCCCGATAAACTCGTCACCGAGGTCATCACCCATCTCGCAAATGGGTTTGAACTTTGTAGGATTGACCGTGACGCCTTGGTTGCCGTCGTACTTTTCCTCATAGCGGTAGGTGTGGCACAACAATCCAAGAGTGACGTGGGCGGCCCAGAGAGCCTTGTCTGGAATGATGTTGGCTGTCGCTTCGACCAGCGGCAAGACAGCGATTGACTCGCGCCCACGACCCCTTGCAAAACAACCCGGCATGCGTTCGCAGAGGTCAGACCATATCCTTCCCGGGGAGTTGGCAAGAGCGCCGGCAGCCTCATTGTAGTCGGGAGGGCAGAAGCCATGTTCAGCGCTGAGATAGCCATCCTTCCAACCTGTTGCCGGACCTATCTCCTCGGCCCGTAACATGACTTGCCTCGCCGGCGCACCTAAGGCTGCTGCAAGGACATCGTGCTCAGGGGCTGTGAGGGTGTCAATATTCTTGACAGCTCTTATCTCGCGGACTGATGGTATATTTTTGTACAGCAAGTCATTGATGGACTTGCGCTCCCTGCAAAGGTGTCGATCGTCAGCGTTATCCTTATCCGAAACCCAAGGTAAACGTTGGGGGCTGATGGAACAAACCTCATACGAAGCCACTCCTCTGCATCAACTCCACGCGGGATATCAAAGGCGGCATGGATATCACCAGGCTGAGAGTATCCTGAGAACGAGCAACCACGGGGTCCAAGACGACTGCTAGATCTGCTCTGGCCGGACATGGAACCTGCAGGGCATTGGGCACCCGCCATACCTGACATAGGACATGACTGCATTGTCGAGAAAAAGATATGGGAAAGAGGTGTTGAGAAGGCCTCTTTGGGTTGATATGTTGGACAAGGTAATCGGAACCTTGGGCTGCCACCAAGATTCGACTTGGCGGTATATAAGAGAACGAGCAGACACTAACACTCGAGGTGATTATTGCAATTTTGTAACAGGGTGACCTCGAGTGACTGAGGCCAAGATCCGGCTGGCGATGGTAAGTGCCTGAGATGTGTCAGTGGCCGGATGGCTGGTCGGACTGATGTGGTGAACAAACCAAATGGGGTTTTTCGTTTGGTGAGAACCTCTCTAGCCAGGCCCTCCAAGTACTTGGATATCCAACTACACTGCAACAACGAAAGATGGCGTTCTCCGTTGGTGTTCGTTGGAGCTTGCAGCTAATACGTGAAACAACTTGTTGAATGAACAAACAATAAGACGTAGAGAAGGGCAGCCACTGGCTCCTATACCTCTATGAAGAAAGGGGTATCACAAACAACGGCCACCAGGGCGAGATAGAATGAACGGATGAAGGGCGAAGAGGCCAGGTGGGAAAAGCAGTATAGCAGTCAGCAAAACATGGCTGAGGAGAGACACAAGCGGGATTAGGAGGTGGTATTAAGTAGAAGAGGTCTGGCTTTTGGGACCGAGTTAGCATCACTTCCTGCGTCGAGATCATCCATGGACCTTGTTCAGCCGCCTTGGTGTTTACGCCGGCCACATTGTCCAAGCCGTGGTACGGGAACAGGTTGAGAAGCCACTCAGACTCCCAGATTGGATCAAGCTCCCTGTGACAGATCCGGATTAAGCTCCGCCTGGGATACACATTCGCTAATCGTATTCGTCTGGGGAGTAGGAGATGGACAGTCGCAGTCATCGACGCGCGGCGATGACTAGCTGCGGGATTCTGGAACATGGCTGCACTTTGGAACCTGAGCACATTTTATCCTGGAGAAAAGGGAACGAGGCAGCATTGGGCGACCCAGGAAAAAGGGGGACCATGTCGTTGCCTCCTTGTTGACCATGGGCATTGTGATGTTGGCGGCCAGTGGACATGGCTGAAACACACCACCGGGATATCGTCTGAAATGAGTGCCGTCACCTTGACCCATCACCATAGTCGCCGTTGTTTCACGTTGCAGTGAATGTTCGGGCATGGGTCGGGGGAGCGTTGCTATGAGTGGAAGAGAAGTTGCAGCTGAGGTCAGGGACGTCGTCGGGAACGGGATGTGGGAGAAGAACCAGAAATGGAGGAACGCAAAGAAGACGCGGGCAGGCAATTGAACTACTTGGTCTGAGCGTAGAGCTTGCTGAAGATTGACCAATCATGAATCCCAATTAACACAATATGTGGGCTTTTGGTGGATCCCTTTTGATACCTAAAGACTCCTGCCAAGAGTTCCAGTCGCTCCTCTCATCTTGCACTTTCCAACTTCAACACCAAACATCGCTCACATCACGTCTGGCAACGACCATAGACGCGCGTCGTCCACTATATTGCCCGCTCCATGCCAGGTTTCAACTGCACTTTCCCCCATATCATCACCACACCACTCTTGCCGATACAGATCGTAGGAAGGCGCGGCAAGCTAAGGTATAGGTAGAAGTCATGGTGTTACCGTCACCTGCCGCCCGAGATCGATACTCCATTCCGCTTGCTGGCATTGTCCCAAATCCGCAACTGCATCCCGTTGGTATCAACCACCTCCCGTCAAAATGGCACTTGCTCGACTGGGCGGACAGAAGAAGACTCTCAGATTGAAAGCCACCCCTGGCGTGAAAGTTTAGCCTACCAGAATGGAATCGTTACCAGGGGAAGTTCACACATCTTTCCTCGTCTTCACCGATCGACCAAATCGCAACATCCAATTCGGCCCGTTCAGTTACTTCTTTTGAATCAATACCTTCAGTTTTCTTGCTCTTTACCTACCCAGCCGGCGCACAGACAAAAACACGTCAACTACACGCTTGGACCAGTTTCCTCTTCATTCACGGCTTCAAGTGTCTCCTGTCTTCAGTTCCCGCAGAGTTGGACATGTCCTGGAAACAGCTACTGCCATCCTTTGCCCTTTTGATGTCGTGAAAGCACCCTTTGAGAACAGCTGGGAGGAAGAGAGGTCCGGAATTCCCAACACGGAATCCGTCATTGTTGCAAAGTTGCAAGCCCGGCAGTAGGTAAACTGTCGCGAGACTTGGTTAGGTCTTTGCTGAAGCTTTTTCTCAAACAAGTCGGGAGTAGCTCACCGGTTGCCAACTGCACATCGCGTGGCTCATGCGGTTTAGTTTAGCGGTGACGATATGCTCATCTGCCTAACCTCCCGCTAAAGAAGGGAAAGAACCATCTATGGAAGTTTGGCGTCATGCTCGCATCCAGGGCAGTTATCTGCTGTTGCTTGATTTCAAGTGAAGCCTTTCGTGAATGCCTTCCCCCTGTATGTCTCGTCTCCAGATGGACAAACTGTGGAGGGCAGGTACGTTTTGTAACACTCATGGAACAGTGACCGATACTATCCTACCTGCCCAGTCAAGCCAGCCGAGACCCCCCATTGAGAGTTGAGATATTCAAGCGTTCACCAGTCTCTGGCCGTGTGTTCCTGTATGTTCGTACGTTGGAAATGTTGAATTACAAGCCAAGTTATCTTATTTCGGCTTCTCCATGGTGGGAGGCCTGACCCAGCCTACTCTCCTCATTTGAGATTTCAGTTCCCATCTCTCTTGCTGTTGTGTTAGAAACCCGTAGCGGTGACTACTGCCGAGTGCGCCTGTCGCGTAGTACGTCATGGTTAACATGGCAGGCTGAGAGGGCATTAAAGGCAGGCGGTGATCATCGATCTATACTTGCTGGCTCAGGGCAGTCAGCCTTTCCATCGCATCTTCACAATGCAGCAGTCTCTCGGACGCCTCCATACGGGAGTTACCCGTACATAAAGCAACGGACCCCAATTGACGTCGAGCAAGCTTTCTTGGAAACACCAGCGACGAAATCAGCCTCACCACTTCATAAACTATACGCTCATCTTCAGGTACCGAAACAATGGCCGCTTCAATGTTTGTTGGTCTGTCGCTTGCTTCTTCATCCACCCCATCTTCAGGTACCGAAACAATGGCCGCTTCAATGCCTGGTGGTCCGTCGCTTGCTTCTTCATCCACCCCATCTTCTGGTCCGTGGTTCGACTCTCCCAGCGACCCAAACCACCTTCACCCAGAAACACTCTTTTCTCTCCGAACCTGCTACGGCATCCTGGATCCGCCCAAGGAAATTTACGTAAAGAACGTTCGCTTCTGTGGCATTGACCAAGGTGAATCGTCCCGGGAGTTCCTTCTTGAGGTCGGCTACCATGTACGGCGAACTAAACCATCCCACGGGTGCGCCGATGCCGATGTCGTGGTTACAGTTGGCGAAGACGGCGACATCTGGCTCCCTACTGACACTCCGCACGTATTTTCGGTCCTGATACACCCCGAAACCTACATGCCTCTCATACGTGTTAGTGAAAGTCTACCAATCGGTAGCGTCGTCGTCATTCACCATGGTCACGCAGACGGTCTACCCAGAGTTAGGCAGTTTCCACCCCCTAGGTACCAAGTCAACAGCAGGGGACCAGGAGAGTTGAGAGCCTTGACGCCCGGCGAAGACTACAGTGTGACGGTGCATACTCGATATCGCGAAGCGAGGGTTGCCTATACGTTTGACGTTGTATGGGGGGACGCGCCCATTTGGAAGATCATGAACAAGGTGAAGGCGGCGTTCGTTCAACACAGTCAAAATCTGTCCCATGGCCCGACGTTCGATTCATCTGACCGCCCCTGGTTCCAGAGTGTTCAGCTTTGTAGCTCAGATCATCACCGCACAGGCGGAGAGGCTCTGGTAATGATGGGTACCACTCCCGCCCCACCTTTGTATGAATGGATTGCCATCAAGAGATTCACCAAGTCCAATGCATGGGGAAATCGAAAAGCAGCCCAAAACGAGATCAAGAAACTAAGGCTGATACGCCACGTGAGTGTCCAGACCGTGTGGTTACTTGGAGCTGAGCAGACGAACTGACCCGGTCTCGATAATAGCCTCACATCGTCGAGTATTTGGGGGACGAGTTGGATCGGTTCAGAAACGATGTGTTCTTGGGCTGGATGGACGGAAGGGATATCGAAGGCATGAGCTTCGACATCACAAGCCCTTGGTCACCGACAGACTTGTGGAGTTCCCTCCTTTTTCAGATGCTTCTCGCACTTGACTATCTGGCGGCAAGGAACATCGTCCACGAGGATGTGAAACCGGGAAACATTCTGCACAAACGACTTGGCAGCGGCTATGTTCACTTTCGACTGGCTGATTTCAGTAACAGCGGAAGATCATGGATTCGCCAGGACACGTTCTTCAGGCCGCTGTTTCGTCCACCTGAGTGGACGAACATTGTCAAAGAAAGAAAAGGCGGCACGCAACCGTCAGCCGATATATGGGCGTTGGCCATGACCATGGTGTGTGTCGCAGAAAGACCGCACGGTTCGACCGTGGCGCACGTCGTGTGGGATAAGGTGGAAAAGGGGCTCGTCTCGGAAGCTGTCGAAACACTTAGGCAACAATCCATCGAGGGAACACATAAGCTGGTGTTACTGCGGCCTATGCTATGCATCAATCCGGATCACAGGGCCACGGCTTATGACATGATCATTGCCCTCCAGATTGCCATGGGTACAGTACAGAACATGGCAGCTTTATGGGCTGCGAGTTTCCGGGTAACTCCCGAGATGGTGGAAAGTCCTCAGACTGATGATCCGGCTACTGATGTGGAACCGGATAATGCTCCAGTCTTTCAGGAGGAAGATCCCCAGGTTGATGACTCGGCTACTGATGTGGGAACGGAAGTTGATGGCGCGGCTCTTGAGCAGGAAGATCCCCAGGTTGATGGCTCGGCTACTGATGTGGGAACGGAAGTCGACGACGCGGCTCTTGAAAAGGAAGGTCTTCGGTATGATTCGGCGGTCGAGGTCGGCGTGGGAGTTCTCGGCCTGATTCCTCAGCCTGATCACTCAGTTCCTCGAACGGGAATGGGTTGGTGATTGAGCTCTTGCGAAGGAATGGAATGGATCGATTGCTGCGGACGCTGGGTGGGGTTGCTTTCTTGGACGGACTGGTTTACCGCAGCATGATCAGGAAGGATATGGAGTTAAAGAGGCAGCATAGAGAGCGTGTGCTTTAGGTACACGAAACGGAACTTAACTTGACAATATACTTTGTATTCAGACTTTCAACATGGCATGCACTTGGCTGATATAAGACGAACCGCACCGAGTGGCCGGAGTGGATCCCCGTTTCCGTGTTCGCTCGGGATCCGGTCCCGGCACCGGATTTCAACTACGGGAGTGGAATCTCCGCACCGGGACAGACAGTCGCGGACAGGCGCACACGTGAGGCCAAGCCGCCGCCGAGAACTGAGCACCGACGCCGAGGTGAAATAAACGAGGAAAAGTTGTGAGAGCTCGCAGCCCGATCCTGACGATCTTGCCGGCTTTCCGTTCCCGCCGCGCTTCCATCACCTCAATCGCCACGAAACTCGAGCTGGAATCGAAAATGCCAAGAGAGACTCCAAAAGCAGGCCAAGTCGGGCCAAGTTGCCAAGCTTGCAGATGCTGTGGGGAAGAAAAGGGGAGAAAGGTCCAACCATTGGATGAGGATGAGGAGAAAATGCGGGGGAGGCCCGGGTGTTTTCAGTTTGCTAGTTGTGAGCGGCCGGCCGGCGAGCCGACCTTTTTGGTTTGCTTTTTCGAGATCCAATGTCTCCAATGTCTCCGGCCGGGGATTGTGATCACCGATCTCAGTTGTCTTCCATTGTCGCTTGTGAAAGTGTGAAAGTGTGTAATTACACAATGTTGGCGAATGAAGTCACGGGCCAAGCCACATAAAGACAAAATGATGGTCTCTTCATCGTGTTAGTGGACGAGAGGTTGTCAACTTAACATGTTTCTTTCCTGTCACGGACGCACAGGAGACGGTGTGATGTTGGGCGTCCAGTGTTTGTTTGGAGTTCGATTGGATTGGATTTTTGGAGATGTCCTCTGCGGTTGCCCCTGCACCGCGCATTGCTTTCACTGTGGGGAATGCATCCGTCTGGAGCCTGGGGAGTGTCGGTCTCCGCAAGGTACGTACCAAGGCGGTGCAGGAAGATTTGGACGGAAAATGTCTTTATGGAGGTGGCCAATTTAGTGTATGGAGAACTATATCTTGTATGGATCTGGACTGGTAGCGACAATAACACATCATTGGTCCGGAAGTGGTCTTGGCGAAAGAGATGGAATCGCCGATTGTTCCTGGCGCGGGCAGTTTGAAGCTGACCTGGGGAAAGACACCACACGAGTTTCCTTCTGGAACAAACACCTAAAAACGTGCACCTCTAAAATATCTCATGTTGCTCGGTGTTTGGATCAGCCATACTCTTAAGTACGTAGGGAGAACGATGTTACTTGTGATCTCCATTTTGTTTGAGAATGGAAGCAACAAAAGAACAAAGTCAGGGTAGCCAGTCGACCTGACACTTTTTCCGGCCCAGGTTTCAGATGCACCACAGGTGTTGTACTGCAGAAAGGCCCCGCTGTGCCATTCTGGAGTTCCTCGGGCTGCCAGGGGCACCATCGATTCTTCCAACCAGCCCGCCAACCAAGAATCTTTTCAGGTGTGTTTCTTTTACAAAAGCGTGTTGGTATCAACAACCTACCATGAGGTCTGTCGACGGAAACAGGTTGTTGGTCGTTGGTTGCCCGCCCAACCGTCAAGCAGGGAGAGGATCCCGAGCGAAACAGCTGGAGGTGAATAACCGCCATGACGCTGCACGGCACAATCCCTCCCCCGCCTCTAGGTGCTCCAGTAACAAGCCAAAAGCTGGATCGATTCACAACCAAACACAAGCTGTGGTGTTGGTGCACAAAGTAAGTATGACAGGAGTTGACGAGTTAGGTTGCAGGGCAAGCTTTCATGCGCGCATTGATCCAGTTTCGCAGGGCAGCAGTGTTGCTTGAGACTTTCCCTCCGCTTCAAACACTGGGAGAAAGAGCTGCCAGGGCTTCCAGGGGTACGAGGTTGGAAAGCGCAACCGTGCTGCCGAGCGTATCAAGTTGGCTGGCCATCTTCTTTGGCATCTCCAGCTCCAGCTTTTCTTTTTTTCGTGCCCGTGACGTCGGTATTCCCACTTGTGGCCGCAAACCAACCAACAGCATCGCCAAAAAGGTCCAACCACCCTTGACTACTAACCCTCCCCCCGGGAGCCTCAAGAAGGCCAGACGCCCACACGCCGTCGCCCGCTACTCGCGCACAGTTTTGCACCAACTTCCTCTTTGCTATCTTCATATATATCACTTGCACGTCTATCGATCGAACCGCGAACATCACCACCAAAGCACACCTGTACTGACGAGTGGTTGCTGTCGTTGTCGCCGAAAACCGTCGCCATTATGGCTCCATCCACCGCCCCTCCCGCGCTCGTCGCGAGCGGTCCAACTCTGTTCGGCATTCCTATGAAGCAGGCTTCATTGATCACTGTAAGAGACCTGATCGGCTTCGCTTGTGTCGAAAGGCGGGAACAGTTTACTAACGCGACCGAATTTGTGTTGTAGTTGACATTCCAAAATTCGGCACTTATACTGGTATGTGTGTACCTTGCTGGCCAAGCCGGCGCGGATGCCCTCGGTGGCGGTATCGACTAACACCACGATCCCAAATAGATCATGCACTACTCGCGAATTATGACACCACCTGGAGACCATCGATACTTTGCCTCGACTGCCGTCCTCCTTAACGAAGTCATCAAGCTCGCCATCTCTTTGACCTGCTCAATCTACGAGGTCTCAAATACCCTAGCTCCGCAAACACCTCTGACAGTCATCCTGGAACAAATCTACAACTCGGTCTTTGCTGGAGATGGATGGAAGCTGGCTATTCCTGCCGTGCTGTACACACTCGAGAACACGCTACAATACGTAGCTTTGGGAAATCTGGATCCTGTCCACTTCCAAATTCTCTTTCAACTCAAGGTAGGCGCCCTGATGCGCTGGGCTGTGAGTATGTTAGGGAGATGGTAGAAACTGACAGTATCTAGATCATCACTACTGCTTTCTTCAGCGTCGTTATGCTTGGCCGCACGCTGGGCGTCAAGCGCTGGTTGTCCCTCGTCGTGCTCACATTCGGCGTTTCCATCGTCTCTCTCCCTTCGTCGAACGACAACTCCTTGACGATCCACGACTTCAGCGACCACTTCTTCCCCCGATCCGTCCACGAGCTGGGCCAAGCCGCTGGCGCGACCTTCGATGTGGCGCGCGAGTTGACAAAGAGGGGTATGGAAGGCTTGGCTACGGAGCTCACCAAACGCTCGGCAACATACGAGGGTATCAAGGAGGACCAAGATGGCCGAAACTTGGTGATGAACTACTCCGCTGGATTGACCGCCTGCCTGGTCGCTGCTGTCGTCTCGGGCGTGACCGGTGTTTACTTTGAGAAGGTGCTCAAGGACTCCTCGACCAACGTGTCTGTTTGGACTCGCAACATTCAGCTCTCCTTCTATTCGCTTTTCCCGGCCCTCTTCGTCGGTGTCATCTACAACGATGGTGAGGACATTGCGAAGCACGGGTTCTTTGACGGGTACAACGGCATCGTTTGGACTGCCATTGTCTTCCAGGCAGTTGGAGGATTGCTGTCCTCCATCTGCATCAACTACGCCGACAACATTGCCAAGAACTTCGCTACCAGCATTAGCATTGTCATTAGCTGCGTGTTCAGCGTCTTCTTCTTTAACTTTGACATGACCTCTTCGGTGAGTTTTCTTTTTTTGCAGTAGCATCAGCCGACCTGGCGCTAACCCGGTTTCTCTTTAGTTCATCATTGGCACCGCCCTTGTGATCGGATCTACCTATCTCTACAGCATACCCGACAGAAAGCGGTCTCGACCCCCTCCCATTAACATTGTGGACTACGAGAAGACCACGATTGACCGCACCCCGAGATTGTTGGACCAGAACCTGTTGAATGTGAACCCTATGGATTCCGCCAAGGCAACCTCGAGACCATCCTCACCATCACCATTAGCCCGTACGCCATCGTCTAGGGGCAAGTTCGTGGACGAGTGAATGTATAGAGGGGAGACGAGCGAACATTAATCGGACGCAGGAGAGACCCGCGTTGGGTTTACTCCGGGGGACGGCTGCAAGGTGGAGAAAAGGGTCGTCCGCACAAACAAAAACAATCGACATGCCGAGGCTACTAGGCAATGGCTACCGTGATGCTCCAGGCACTCTGGAACCACCATATATGCCCCTAGTTTGGGGGCTTGAGATTCATGGAGACTTCGTTATGATGGCATGAGCGAATGAGAGATACCAGGACACGAACACTTTGGTTTTGTATATGCATTTGCGCAAGCAGAACCGGCGCTCTGGATACACGACCGATGCTTAGAGGGAAAAAGGAGTTGGAAGAAGGAGAACGGGGTTCGGATTTCAACGGTCAGCGCAGGTTCTCTCCTGATCTAGCCATGGGAGGAATCGGATGCCATCGTTCACAACAAGAGCATTGAAAAGATCGGAAGCGACTTGCATGTAGTCTTATACTACATTTTGTATACCAATATCCCTTTCTCTTATTTCGCGTTCCTGAAATTGTCCTGTCCTGTCCCATCCTGTTGTGAGTCAACCTGAACTCCGACACTTTTGGATCAAGCAAGGAGGCCAGTCGCCTCATGCAGTTCAACCAAAAAGCCCAAAGTCTGGCTGGGCAAATCTTTCGAGTTGGGTCGAGTTGGGAATCCGGTACGGAAGGGGCGGTGGGTAATTTCCAAACGGCCCCTCCGGATCGGTGTTGCGAGGGAAGGCACGTCGTCGGACCCTCGCTGTTCGATGTGATTGCCCGCCGCATCGGCATTCATCCCGCGGTTGGTTCCGGACATCTCTCACTGCCTCTTTCCGATTACTGCTCACTAGTTCCTTCCGTTTTCTGTCAAAAAACCTTCATCGCGTCACACGGACGAGTGTTCGAAGCTCCTTCCTTCGATGGGAGTGCTTGTATCCCAGGGCTTCGATTGCGCACATAATTCTCAAGTCAACCGGCACATCCCCAGCTTCCAAATAAGCTTTGTTTGCCACACTTCACTTTGCCATCGCCCGATACTGTCTCATGTTCATTGCTCTTTTATTCAACCCGTCGCCCTATCGTCAAACGCCTATCGACCGCGAAGTAAAGTAGAGGTAGCCATGACGGCACGTTGGCGCGAGTCGGCGCGCGAAAGAATAGCCCAAAGACAGCGAGAAAGGCACAGACCCGAGATCCTCGATGACGGCGACGAACTTGCCATGTCACCTCTCCCGGGCTATTATCCGGAACGCTATCGCGATGAATACGACCGTGGACAGCTTGGACCACCAGCAAGCTACTATGCCGAACCACCCCAGTCATATGCAGACGAGCTAGTTCTGGATGATTTCGGTATGTGAACGAGGTCTGAACTGTCAGTCTTTCCATCCGTCTAACACATCCCAGATCGCCGCCTTCTTGCTCACCCTGCCTCGCAAACCCGTGACGACGAACAATATGAGATTGCGCTCTCGCATCTTAGAAGACATGCCCAGCCTCACATCTCCCCCGGATACAGCTCGTACATGGCCGCCACAATGTCTGCTGGTCCGCCGCCTTCCAGCAGGGTACATGCTCCCAACGACCACCTCATTCCGACTCCAAGGACACTGGACATTATCAGCCGTGAACCAAATCATCGTCTCAGGGACTTGTGTGGCCCACAACAACAGCCAACACCTCCGATGCATTCCGGTTAGTCTTGCTCCCCCACCGAATATCTTGCAGTCGGTCTGACCTTGCCCAGCTGCTTCATATACACACAGCCCCGCAAGTCAAGCCTCCACCAAAGGGACTCTTCACACTCTTACCAGCTCCAGTCCTACCATCCGAGCCAGTGCCCACAAGAAGCAGAGTGCCTCTAGACGCGCCCGTCAGATGTCATATCTGGCCGAAGAGCCTATGGAAACATTACAGCCATCGCAGCCAACCCAAGCTACCCACACAGACTCTACTGAGTTGACTCCTATCGTTCACGGTGTACGGCTGGTGAGTGTACGACAGGCCTTGCCAAGCAGGTTCCAGGAAGTCTTCCCTTACGAGTTGCTCAATGCCGTACAATCAAAGTGTTTTGGAGTTGTCTATGGGTCTACCGACAACGTGGTCATATCTGCACCAACAGGAAGCGGCAAAACAGCCATCCTGGAGCTTGCCATCTGCAAACTCGCCCTCGATCGAGGTAACGAGAATTTCAAGATTGTCTACCAAGCGCCAACCAAAGCTCTTTGTTCGGAGAAGGCTAGGGATTGGGTGAAGAAATTCAGCCATATGGGCTTGAAATGTGCTGAGCTGACTGGCGACACCTCTCAAGCCGAGATGAGGCGAGTTGGGGAAGCCTCCATTATCGTCACCACTCCCGAGAAGTGGGATTCCATAACACGCAAGTGGCAGGACCATCGCAAGCTTCTCCAACTTGTCGAGCTATTCCTCATCGACGAAGTTCACATTCTCAAGGACGTCCGTGGTGCTACCCTTGAGGCTGTGGTGTCACGGATGAAGACCATTGGGGCCAATGTTCGTTTCGTTGCACTAAGCGCCACTGTTCCCAACTCAGATGACATTGCCAAATGGCTGGGACGCAACCACACCACTCAACAACTACCTGCTCACCGTGAAGTTTTTGGCGAAGAGTTCCGCCCTGTCAAGCTGCAGAAGTTTGTCTACGGATACGAATGCAACGGAAATGACTTCATCTTTGACAAGTTTATGGACTCCAAGCTCCCCAAATTGCTCTCTAAACACAGTCAACGGAAACCAATTCTAGTCTTTTGCTTTACGAGAAAGTCGTGCGAGTCAACGGCCGCCATGTTAGCGGAGGATGCCTCAAAGTTATCAGAAAGTAAAGCTCTGTGGCCGATTCCGAAAAAGAGGATACCAGTTGTCAGTCGCGAACTGCAGGAGATTGTTCAGTTTGGTGTTGCCTTTCACCATGCGGGTCTTGATGCTCAAGACAGGGTTGCTATTGAGCAGCATTTTCTGAACGGGGAGTTGAGCGTCATCTGTTGCACATCAACATTGGCCGTTGGCGTCAATCTCCCTTGTCATACGGTAGTCATGAAAGGTACCGTCGCCTTCATGGACGACAAGCTCCAAGAGTACTCGGATCTCGAAGTGATGCAAATGTTAGGACGAGCAGGCCGTCCGCAGTTCGATACCAGCGCTACCGCTATCATTCTTACACGTGCTGCCAACAAGCAACGCTATGAAAAGATGGTCTCCGGTCAGGAGATCCTCGAAAGCACCCTGCATCTCAATCTCATTGAGCATCTTAACTCTGAGATATGTCTTGGAACAATCAGCGATATCTCTTCAGCAAAGATGTGGCTCGGCGGGACCTTCTTGAGCGTTCGTCTCAGACGAAATCCTGATCATTATCGACTCACCGGGGACATCTCCAATCCTGCTCAGATCGACGATAAGCTCGAGGAGATTTGCGAGCGTGACATCAAGCTTTTGCAGAACACTCAGCTAGTGACTGCAGACGCAAAGTTCAAATGTACAGAGTATGGCCGTGCAATGTCCAAGTACATGGTGGAGTTCGAGACGATGGAGTTGATATTGAAGATTCCGCGAGCTGCTGGTATTGAAGTCTTGGTATGTTTGTCTTCTCAAACGCTTTCCAACAAGTAGCTAACCAACTTCAGATCAATTCTCTCACTGAAGCAGTGGAGTTCAAAGACTTTCGCATAAAGCCCGCTGAAAGAACTCTCTTCCGAGAGATCAACAAGAACCCGCTCATTATGTATCCGGTGAAAGAGCAAGTCCAGCATACCCAACACAAGATCTCCCTCATTGTGCAGGTTCACCTCGGAAGCGTTCAGTACCCAGATTCCTCTGAGGCAGCCAAGCTCAGAAGACAGCTCATGATGGAAAAAAAGATGATATTCGAAAGACTCCAGCGTCTTGTCCGTGCTGTTATTGACTGCAAGGGCTTCGATCGTGATGCCTCCGGAGTGAAGAGTGCGTTGGAACTGGCTAGGGCACTTTCAGCCGAGTCTTGGGAAGGCCGCCCGACCCAACTTACCCAAATCCCCAACATTGGACCAGTTGGTATGAGGAAGTTGGCGGGCAAGGGGATTCGGACAGTGTTGGAGTTTGCAGAGAAAGACAGCGTCGAACTCGAGCGACTCATGTCCAGACAGCCACCGTTTGGAAAGAAGCTGAAAGCCGATCTTGACAAGTTCCCTCGTCTCGATATTGACGTAGCGGTCGTCAAATACACCACCCCTAAAAGGCGCAATGAAGACGTAACGCTCAATGTTCAAGCGACACTTCGGTATCTCAACCAGAACGGCCCCCCTAACTGGCTGGGCAGGTGCCCGATGCTCACATTCATGATCGAGTCTTCTAATGGGAATCTGCTATACTTTTGGCGCGGGAGTCTCGGGAAGATCGACAAACAGATCGGGCTTGTACTTCCATTTCCTATTCCGCTAAAAAGTCCGGATGAACGTATCGTCTGTCATCTGAGCTGTGAGGAAATTGTTGGAACACTCGTATCGAAGATTCTGAAGCATGAGGTACCCCTAGCGGCGTTTCCATCCCAGCAGTCTCGGCAGGGCAGAACAACACCCACAAACGGAGGGCCAACGCAGCGACTGTTGAAAGAGAAATCCGAAGAATACATGGATAATGATGGAATAGACGACTCGGACCTGCTCCAGGCAGCTGATGAAGCAACCTCTTGTGTTCCTGTCATTCAAGGAGCCAAGTACGAATCAGAGTCGGATCCCGACGAGTATCCTGAGGTGGAAGAGCTCATGGAAGTCGTGACACGGGCAAGCGAGCCAGAGCATCGAAACTTTGACAGGCATCTGGCCACGAATGAGGCCGACGACTCCGGCGACATGGACAACAGCCAGATTTTAGACCGAGAGCCTGTTCAGTTACCAAACGGTAGATGGCAGTGCAACCACGCTTGCAGCGGAGGAGTACCTACAAAATCCGGCAAGCCCTGTAGCCATAAGTGCTGTCATGAGGGCATCGAGAAGCAAAGAAAGCGGTCTACCAAAAAGCGGAAGGTGGCAGAGAAAGGGGATCAGAAGAGCGAGTCTCAGGGTGTTCTTGCTCAATTTTCTTTTGAACCGTTGAACAAGACATCGCCAATGGGAAGTGAGGCGGCCGCCAACAAGGCCATCCCACGTGCTGCGTCAAAGAAAGAGGCATTCGGAAAGCCCTACGAGCCAGTGAACAAGAAGCCCAAGTTGGAACTGCCCCTGCAGAAGCAAATCATCGACGGGGTTGATTTTGACTACATCGACCTTTCGTTTGATGATGACGAGTTTCCAGATATCGCGGCTGGTGTTCAGCGGAAGACAACCGCAACAACCACTGCCAACAAGGGGCAACGCACCAGCAATGAGCGCCAGTCTTCACATACCGAGGCTTGGGGAGTCACCCAGACCCAAGGTGAAGGTGCAAGAGGTCCTGCAGTGTTATCAACACAGAACATGGTGGCAGATCAGAGCATCATGCCTCCGTTGTCAACCCAGGTCTATGGGGATGACCCATTTGACGCCGGCGATCTCGCAATCCTCGATGGTATGATGGTGAAGGCGAGCAACAGGCAGACAACCAAATCACCCTTCAGCATTGGCGGAAAGGATCAAGTTTTCTACCAGACTCCTTCCAGCCAGTCTCTCGGACCTGGCATGCACGTGCCCGATGAACTCGTGTCGCTCAATCCACAGTCCACGGGGAACATCAACCAGCCAGCCACCGTGATTGATCTGGACTGGGATGACGTACCCATGGAATATGGTAAAGACTCTCTGCACGATGATCAGCCCGTTTCTTACACCATCGAAGCTGCTTCACCGCATGGACTTGCACATGGCAGTCCCCAGACCCCCAACGATGCCCGGAGTAATGAGGCCAAAGACCAGAAACTAAAGACAGAAGAGGGTGAGCCGGAGTGGGTATCGACCATGGACCCTGAAGTTATCGATATGCTTCGAGGTTTTGTAACTTTTGTATGAAGACAAAGAGGGAACTTAACGTAGTGTAGGATCAAGTGCGGCTGCTGCTTTGCTAGACTGTTGTTAGCTTTTGGTTCGGTGATTTCGGCTAGTTTACGCTCACGTGTTCAAGGATACTGAGGAAATGGTGTTTCCGGAGAGAAAATGTATTTCTAGATGATCGTTGTGTAGTTGAAGGCGATGTCTTCCATGTGAGGGTGTGCTGATGGGGCATGTCATCGGAACGGCGCGAGAACTGCCCTCATTTGTGCAATTGTGCGCTCCTTTTCTTTCCAAATCCCAATGATATGTCATGCGAAATGTTCAACATAGGCAACCTTCCCAAATTTAAACTGCTAAACTGCAGTAAATGCTGGCGTGTTTTCAAGTACGTGTCGTCGAGGTTTTGAAATTTGAACATCCACTGCCGGAGTCATTCCTCGCTTGTTGGAGCAACAGCTCCGCCCCGCGATTTGGGTATGTCATGGATGACTGCGATTCACCTCAAATTCTATCACCAGTCACACAGAATACGAGAGAGTTTGCATCGTATCCGATGCCAAAAGCAACAAAATCAGGAAATACAGACCGGCGACCTGCGAGACGGGCCGATTATCAAGGAAAACGAAAAGCAACGGGCTCGGACAGCCGAAGTTATTTCGGTTGGGATCATCGTTCGGTGACTATAAATCCCCCCCACTTCTCGAGATTGGGCCCCGCATCACCACGGTCACCATATGTAACAGTCAACCATCCTCTTGGAAACATTTGGTCGTCAACAACATCATCACCGATACTCTTGCACTCAACCAAATACACCAAGCACAAAAAAGTACTGTGTCAGCATTATAACTTGTCAAAATGGTCGGAGTCGCACTTCTAGGAGCGGGCATCTTTGCCCGGGAGCGTACGTCCATCGTCTCCCCATTCCCCAATTCCACCACTCACTGATGTCATCCTTTCTCTGCTGCTCAACACCACGACCACAAGCACCACCACCACGACCATCATCACCACATCCCCATCGCAGCTTCAAACAAAAACTCTTGTCCGGCAATAAACATGCTCATCATCACAATGTGACAACAGCAAAAGTCCTCCAAAAGCTAACAACCCCACTCCCCCATCAACAGAACACCTCCCCGCAATCGAATCCGTCCCCTCCCTCTCCCTTAAGGCCATCTACTCCCGCTCCGAGTCCTCCGCCAACACGCTCGCCTCGGCCGCTTCCAACCCCGTCGACGTCTACTACGACGTGCCCACCGGCACCGGCGAAGCCAAGGTCGGCCCCGAAGAGAAGACCCTCGACGCTTTGCTTGCGCGCACCGACATAGACGCCGTCGTCATCGCCCTACCCATTCTCGCCCAGCCGGCCGTCATCCAGAAGGCGCTCAAGGCGGGCAAACATGTGCTCAGCGAGAAGCCGGTGGCGAAGGATGTGGAGGCCGCTAAGGGGTTGATTGAGTTTTATGCCGGCCTCGAGCAGGGCGAGAAGAAGAAGCCGCTTTGGGCGGTGGGCGAGAATTACAGGTACACGCCTAGTTTGATGGCTGCTGCGGAAAAGGTGAAGGAGGTGGGGGGCAAGTTGACTACGTTCCGGCTGAACATGAATGGGTGGGTGGAGGAGGAGAACAAGTATTTCAAGACTGAGTGTGAGTTTTTCCCCTTTCTTTTGCCTTTCGATAAATGATGGTTAGGCGGAGATGTGAGCTGACAACGGACATTATAATAATGCAGGGCGCAAAGTACCCTCCTACCAAGGCGGTTTCCTCCTCGACGGCGGCGTGCACTTCGTTGCCGGCCTGCGCCTTCTGCTCTCCTCTCTGGATCAAGACATCAGCCAGGTCGTCGGCTTCAGCCACCTCCTGGAAGAGCGTCTGCTGCCTGTCGACACGGTGCACGCCGTCGCCTTGACCAGCGAGGGCAAGTCGGGAACTATCAGCATCTCGTTCGGCACCCAGTTCAAGTCCGGCCTCGAGGTCGAGGTGGTCACTACCAACGGGTCCGTCTACTGGAACCCGACCGAGGTCAAGACCAAGACCAAGGACGGTGAGAAGGCGGAGCAGTTTGAGAGGAGAAGCGGTGTTAAGGAGGAGATGGCTGCTTTTGCGCAAGCGATTGAGCGGGGGAAGACGGAGAAGAACCAGACGCCCGAGGAGGCGTTGAGGGATTTGGAGGTGGTGCAGAGGCTGTTGGAGTCGGGAGAGGCAAAGGGGGCTGTCAAGGCCATTGAAGCTTGAATTTCCTAGCAAGTGGACGGTGGTTACTCCAATTGACCATCGTCTGGAGTCTCGGTTGAAGAGAGTAGCCCTTGGCGGGAGGCTCTACTTTTTGCTGCGAGTCGTTCCGGGCTGACACGGAGTGAGTCAGGGTCGGATTGACTGGCTAAAAGAGGTTTGAAATGATCAGGTGTTGGAACTTACAGTAAAATACGGATATCGATAATGTATAGCGTCCAGCACATGATGATGACGAGTATCCAAAGCACGATGGATATCTGCCAGGCATAATGGTCTGTGTGAAAAAAGAGAGATCAGCTATTAGACCCAAGCAATATAAAAGGGGAGAGAGACGCACAGTAAGGAGCCTGTGAAGCCGGCCATATGAGGACCTGAGACCAGGTCAAGATGGCATAGACTCCGGCTATGGAGTACCCGACTATCAATGTGCGAGCTTCCGAGTCCTGCGGTAGTCTGCATATGATTAAGGTCAGTTCATGATCACCCTTATCCTTGACCCGACGAGTTTGATCCAAGTAGGGAGGGGTAAGTCCTACATGTCAGACAGCCAAGACATGATTAATGGCGCCGTTCCTAGACTCATGTAAGTCATGAAGTAACTGGCGTAGGCAGCAGAAACCGGTGTCGTGTCCGGATGAGATGTCCATACGCTCATGATGATGCATGGGATCAGTCCGATCACGCCTGTGTCATCCGAATTAGCAAAGGAGGCCTTGACTCGCACGACAGCAGTATGACTGAGGTGATCTGAAACTTACCTTGAGCAACCAACAACGTCCACCTAGTCTGCAACAAATCGGATAAAATCGCCCAGATCCAAACTGTCACAGTTTCACCCGTTAGTTAGCCTCACATTCGCTTCATCTCATCAGCCACTCAACAAATCCACCCGCACCCATTTCCACTCAGAACTCTTCAAAACTCAGACCATCAGGCTGCTCCTTCCCCCAGATCGGCAGTCGGAGGTACCTACATAAGAAGAAGCCACGGAGGGTGAGTGGGGTGGGGAAAGAACGAGCAGTAAGGTACTCACCAAAAACAACATTAACCCCATTTCCCAGAATCGGAATCGTATTCACCTCCTTAACACTCCACCTCGGCCTCCCATCTTCTTCTCTCTTCAGTTCCTTCAGGAAAAGATTAAAGTAGTTATACCCGTACGGCGCCAGAACGGACGCGATGTAGAGCATCGGAATGAAGTAGGCGATCCACATGCGGAAAGTGCGCTTGGCGGCGGGCCAGGTGATTTTCTTGGAATCGCTTCGGCCGTGGCGTTTGAGGCGGTCCTCGGCTACTTCGACGTGTTTGTCGGAGAGCCATCCAAAACTTGTGTGGGATGTAATTCTAGGGGATGTTGAGAGAAGAGAGCGCGGGTTGGGGGAGTTGGGATAATCTGGGATAAGGAAGAAGCCGGTGAATCCGATAGCGAGGGTTAGGAGGCCGTTTATTATGAAGAGCCATCTTGTTTAGGTAAAGAAAGGATGATGAGTTAGCATTGTGGTGAGGTCATGTGGGATATTGGATGTGTAGTCTTGGTAGAGGATGTTGATTAAGAGAGAATGCGAGGGTTCAAGATAGAGAGGTGTTACGATAAAGTCACAGTTGGATTGGAGGTGAAGAGGAAATGGACGAGACAAAAAAAAAGGTGGTGAAGTAAACAAAAATACTGAGACTAACCGCCAACCCCTAAGTCCCCATTTCCCCTCAAGAGACTCAAGCACAGCAACTTGTAATGCCCCAGACATCATCGACCCCAGTGCTTGGCAGGAATGGTAAAAGCCCATGCGCTTGGCGAGCTCTAGGGGAGTGTACCAGTACACTTTTTCACTCGAACGGTGTCAGCTATCGTGTCCATGCCATGGTTACATTCATACCTTGCATAGCCAAGCTGCCTTGCTCTCTCCATGTGTATACCTGCACGGTAAACCTATGGCAGCGATAAAGTCGGAAAGGGGAGGGGTGGGGTAGGGCGATTGAGAAGGGCAGCTATAAAGGAAGATCGTAAATAAGGAAAATGAGAACTGACTGAAAAGGGTCATCATGCCCGGCCAAGCACTGCTTTCAAACAAGCCGAGCAAGACTCGCAAGGCGTAGATTTGGTTCGCGTTCTGGGCGAAGGCGATGAGAGCGGTGACGAAGCCCCATCCTATTTCGAGACCGGGAAGCCAGTAGCTGGGACGGACGTAGGTGATGATTACTTGGGAGGGAATGAGCATGAGACAGTAGGAGATGCTGAAGAAGGTGAGGAAGCTGGATCACATCAAGTGAACAAAAAAAAACATCAGTTTCCCGCGCTCTGTTGATCAGAAGTTGATTACGGATTCTGCTGGCTGTGGTTGGGATCTCTCACTAGTTTAACTCATTCCCGTTGAGTTGCAAATCCTCTTTCATGCCCGAGACGTAGGCAGAACTGATGTTGGTTTGGTCGAGGTATCTGAGTAGGGCCGAATTGTCAACATTTACGACTCTTGCATGAATATTACCAAAACACAACAAACAGAATTGGAAAGTCTCACTTGATCACTAATAGCAGACAACATTATGTCGTCTTCAAAGTTAGGTATCCATCATTGGCCCCTACTTCCACAAAACCTTACCTTGCGAGATGCATCCAAAAGTCAAGAGAAAGACATCCAACCTCCGCACCAGATCCTTCTCCAACGGCGACCTCTCATTCTCATCATTTTCCCGTTGCAAGAAAATGAGTCGTCTGGAGATCCTGTTCCAAAGCCGATGCTGCTTTCGTTCTGGTGGTGGTGATGGTGTGGCATTCAGCCTTTGTTCCTGACGAGAGTGGTCTACTTGGCGCGCGGCGTCCGCCTCCTCATCGAGATCGTCGGCGCCATGTTCATGTCCATGCCTGACCCTGCAAAAACCGTTGGAATCACCAAGCTCGGGGTCGTTCCCATCCCTGGTGCTAGTGTTGTTGAGGTCGGTGTACGCGGAACTTTGACGGCCGAGGGACACGAGCAACGGTGTGGTCTCAAAGGTGGTAGCAGCGGTGTTAGTAGCGGCGGGGACATCCTTCCCATCACGGAGCGAACCCGAAGGCTGGTGTCCACCATCTTGCGGCAATGACGACATTGTGGTTCGTCTTGAGTGCCGTAGGCCCGTAACTGAGGCCTTTTTCCAACGGTCGTGCAGTGTGTTTCTTTTGAGGGAAAATGTGAATTTTGAACCGAATGCGTGGGCTGAACAGATGTGGATGGAGTCATGCAATGAGGGGAACGGACACGGAGGACGATGGGGAAGGAGATCGAGATGGCACGAGGAGGACACGAGGCCAAGAGCGATAGGGCCAAGGCAGTAAACAAACGGTCACCGGGTTGGGGGACGTTGCCGCGTGGAAACACTTGTGGGGGAGAAGGGGATAGCTTTGTCGAGTTGTTGGTGGCGGTTTGAGGCTATCCCTACTTGGGATTGTTATCGTGAAGGTGGGCTGCTTAAAGTGATTTGTGAGACAGCTGGCCGCCAATTGCCAACTTCTGCTCTGGCAGCTGGGAGCCAAGAGAATGAACAGTTGGCAGGCCATTGCTGGTTCGGTATGGGATTGCCGAATGGGTGTAACGCCAGCGGGCAGCCAGGGGTTCACCAATCATCAGTACGCCGAGCCATTGAAAACCATGCGACAAAAGACGACGGGTTCGACGGCGACCATTGTTACCCTCCATTCGTTGGGTCAGGGTGCTCTTTTTCAACTCCATCACGGCCATCACATTGCCCTAGAAGAAACGTTGCAAATGACAAAAACCTCAAGAGCGATGCTTCAGTCGTGCACCTGCCTGTCTTGCTCTTTTAACGATGATTTCAAGGTGTTGAAATGTCGTTTCCGGGGTTGCTGTGAGGTTCAGCTATTTACACCGTCGTTACAGTGAGACTTTGGCGTTTTCAGGGCCTGCCGGCGTGCCAATGCCCGCTGTGATGTGTAGAGGTACATAGTACATACCACTGTCACCGGGAGCACTGTTCTTTCAGGCCCCGAAATTACGAAAACACGGCAAGAGCACATCTCAAAAGGAAATTCTGGGCAATCACCGTCTTCCTCGTTGTCCATTTCCTCTTTCGGGTCCTCGTTTCTGATGGTCATTCTTCCTCCTTTCTCTCTCCTGCACGTCACCTCCGAGATTTCGTCGATCTTTGAACATCTTCAGCCCCAACTCCGGAATTCGCAACACGCCACATCAACACCTTGTTTCCGCGTAACAGAGCTCGACAGGTTTACCAATCACTGGATTCCGATTCCGCAATGCGGCAGTCGATGGGATGAACAAGGGAATTTAGCGAAAACCCCATGCTGGTTGATATGTATACACTACTAAACCCTCCATTAGGCAAAGGGTTCCAGCTGACCGGAGAAGGGATAACGCTGCTTTTATGAGAGTGGCTCTCCTGCGAATTCTCCATCGTCACATCATCTCAAAGGAGAACGACAACAGAAAGGAAGGAGTCCCTTGTTAATGGCTGGACCCTCAATCGTCTCACATTTTCTCCATTTCCCTTTCGTTAACAAGGTAATTGATACCCACCAAGTGGCCACCTCTGACCCCGAACTCATTACAAAACACGAATCTGAATTGGATACTGTGTGGACGAACCGATAACCGCAAAACCCGATTCAAGCCGTTTGTTTCTAAACCAGATGGACAATCGTGAACTGAACTTGAACCGCATTTTTCAGTGTTTCGCTCAAAAGAGAGAGAGAAAAACAGAAACATCCATTCACAAACCAGGCACCGTTGGCACCAAAACCCAAGAATCAACAACACTGGGGTGCCCCTGTCTTGCAATTCCGCACCACCGCAAAATAGCAAAGCGAATGATCGGCGTTTCCATTACCTTATTTAGACATCCATCTTATGATTCTCATCGCTCGCTGTTTTTCTAGTGTACAAACACTCACAAACATAGCACCACACCCTCGACCACACCGCAAATGTCCCCCAAAAACCCTTTCCGCCCGGTCAAGTTTCTTCGGTGCCGTTGGTTCGTCATCAATAATTTCCACATCATCAGCAGTCCCAGGGGTATTGATTTTAGCCGGTTCGGATCATGGATGTCAGCACGTCCTGCGCATCAAACCGAACCGTCATCTTGATCCCATCCGGTTCCCAGCTGGTTGGTTCCGTCCCTCGTCTCGCCTCCGAATACTTGGGAGGAGGTGAGATTTTGGCGCCCTTTTTTCCGTTGTGTCAATCAATCAATAAGTGTCAATCTCAACCTAATTGTATGTACTGTGAGTGTCGCCTACCTCTCTACCTTATCTCACCGGAAGTTCATCACCTTCGTTGACTCTCGGTTCCGAACGTCCATGTGGGGATATGTTACCTCTACAGTCTACACTTTTCCAAACTGCTGTGTGCCCGTCCGTCCGTTCCTGCGTTCCTGCGTTCCTGCGTTCCCTCAGTTGTTTTCCGTACCTTACATACGGTACCTTGTCCCTTTTCTTCCAGCTTCGGGTTCCCTTGTCCTCTTTATTCATAATACTGGATCGTACAGAGTACATGGGAATTCAATGTCCTTTTTTTTTGTTTTCCCTTGACGCCCGTGGTATCCATCCGGTTACAGAACCCTTTACCCCTGGTTCTGAGGTAGTGTACTGGTAGCAATTCCAGGCACCCTGCCGTGGATACCTCTACATACTGGGTTACATTACAGCGGTGCCTGGCAGGTATGTAGTGTACCTATCTTTCCCCTTGAAAACATGGAAATCCCCGCTGGCCAGTGTCACCGGGCATCCCGTTAGTTCCTGTCTCTCATGAGAAATCCACCACTCCGATCCATCTGATGAATACTTATGATATTATCGTATACTATTTCCCATAAACTATTGGGATCTCGATGGTCTCGATGGTCTCGATGGTTTCGATTCATGGCTCCATGCCCTGGATAATGTAACTGCCACTAGGTATTGCAACAAAACTTACGATCTTTTAAAGTACCTGTATCCTCCATCATATATCATTCGTGTCCAATGGAGTCCTTACTCTTTATAACCCAGGCTCGATTGAGCCAGGGTAACACACACGGCAGTAACATGACGGTAGAGGTACTGTATATATATATATAGGTAGTGTAGGTAGTTGGTTTTGTGTGTTTAACTTCCGTTCTGTGTCGTGTTTTGTGTGATTTGTGGCGTACGCCATTACCGTGCGCCGTTACCGTCGTTACCGCGCGGGCGCCATTATCTCGAGTCTCGAGTCTCTATCGAATCTTATATCTCAAATCCTCGAGTCCTTCCACCCGTCGTCCATTGTGACAGTGTGACCACCTACTGCCGTGTCCCAGTGGCATCCAGGGGTTTGTGCCGTTGGGTGGGATAACGGCGTTACAGTGAATACCACCCAGCACAGTTTTACCCCGGCAGAGGTGTAAGGGGAGCACGGAACCGGTCCGCACAACGACCTAGGGTCGGGTTACACTGCTTGCACCGCTGCAACGGGCTTGAGAAATTCCACAGAGCGGGGGATTGCGATCGTCAGGAACAGCACACCACACCACAAATGAACGACGAACCTTTCCCCGTTCGTCCATAAACCGAACTATAACTATAACTATAACTACAACATACCCTGTGTATGATTCACGTGAACCATTTCCATAGTCCCCAAGTTTAGACTGGGACTTTTTAGACTGTGCTAAATGCGTGTAATTAGGCCAATCCTCGCTTATTTCGGGGGGAAGGGTTGTAGTGTTAGTCCAAAGATTGGTCACCGAAACAATGGAACGCAATTTTTGAATGTCTGACTCTAGCTCTAGATAGTTGGCGTCAAAAGTCAACATTTAGAGAGACAAAATCCACTGTAGATTTCGGCATTCATTCAGAGATTGACGAACCGAAAATTACACCGCACTTTTCGGTTGACAACGGTTCGGCAGTCCAGATAATGCACTGAACTTTTGTTTTGTCTCGGATATCCGCCTTCGGTAGTAGCAATGAGTGACACGCTGCTGTCTCGGCCCCGAGCTTGGTGCGAACGGTTACAGTGGTACCTTACCTGGACTAGAGGTACTCTGCCAAAACAATGTGTGAGAATTGTGCATTGTGCATGTAAAACGTTGTTCCATCTATGTGTCGATGTATGAAGATCAAAGGGCATTTCGTTGCCTTCCTCATATTCGTCGCTCGTTGGTATCAAATGAAGAGATGAAGGAAAAAGGTCTATCTAGAAATACACACCGGTAAATCAAACGGGTTAGGTTGCCCCAAGAAAAATGTCTGAAATGAAACACCACCGTAGCAAATGAAGCCTGCGCGTGTGCCTTTTTTGTGGCAAGAACGAATGCAGCCGCCCATTGTCCATGCCCCTAAGAGAAAATGCTGAAAGACCAAGGACTTTTAAGACCCGAGAAAAAGAAACAAAAAAAAAAAAAAAAGAAACCGAATGACCACCTCTTAGTGAGTCTGGTCAACAGAAATGGTCCACTTCGTCTGAACCGTAATAACACCTGGATCTTTGAAAGATCCCGGTTCGGGGGTCAGCGCAACCTCTGAGCCATCATCCCTGCTGGCCAGCCTGTTGTGATTGTTGTGGTGCTCCTTCTCTCCCGAAGCTGCCACAGCGGACTGGTAGTGGATTTCCTTGTTGGAAGCGTACAGGCTCTCCAAGCCAATGTGGTCCTCCTCAGCCAAGTGGCTGCTGTTCTTCAGCTTGTTGAAGCCGCTGTTGTTCGTGCCACCGAAAGTAGCGGTGCCGTCCGAAGTAGGCGCTAGCTTGGAAGCTCCTCTACGGGTGGTACAGCGAGCCCAAAGAGAGCTCAGCATGGGCATACTAACGCAGAGAATAGCCAGGTTAGGCTCGACGGTAGACCAGAAGTCGGCGTAGATCATGGTGCCAGTAAGGTTATTCATGTCGAGGCCAACGAGAGTGACGATACGGATGATAGCGACGACCGAAGTACTGCATGTTTTGTTAGTATCAAAAGGGGAAGCAAGAGGTGAATAGCGGAAAGCAGGCAAACTTACAGCAAACCGATCAGGAAAACGCCCGTCAGACCGGCCTTGGTACTCCAGTTCATCTTCAAGCTCCAGACGGTAGGCAGCGGCAGTGCCAAAATCACAACGTCAGTGACAACGTTGAAGGCGCCAATGGCAATGAAGGATGCCTGCTGGCTGCCGCACACGGCGTCCGGAGCAGACATGGGATCGTAGGTAGCCCTAAAGGGACGGCAGATCAAGAAAACCTGGAGAATGTTGCCTGTGCTCCAGAGCAGGACGAAGGTCATGGCAATCTTGGTAGCAGTGCACAGGCCCTGATTGACGAATACGCGCAGGTAGAAAAACATGACAGACAGCTTGACGGTGCTGATGCATGTGGCAAAGATGAGTTCATACGAGACCAACAGCTTGAGGATAGTGACCAGGTTCATGTAGGTCTCTGAAAAGGGGTAGCCGATACCCATTCCAATCCCTGTGATGCAACTTGTTAGATGTGGTTTTTCGAAGGCAGAAAGCGTGTGAACTCACATAAACCTTGGATGATAAGCATGCCAATACCCTGGGGCACGGCAGCAAGAATAAGCCAGTCGTCCCACCACAGCTTTGCTCCAGAGACGTAGCGAGCGAACATGCGCAGACAGATGACTATCAGTGTCAAGGCCACCAAGCAGCAGTTGATGATGAGATGCGCCTTGACCACGCCCTTGGGCTCAAAGTATTTTGTACCGAACAGGTGCGTCATCTCCGCGGGATTAGGGGCCTCCATGATGTGTGTGTGTGTGTGTTTATCGTCGTCGTTATTGTCGTTTCCAGTGGGGAATTTGTCTCGTCTCTCTTAAATGGCAGATGGGGTTCGACCTCCTGGGTCGTGTGTGCGCCTTCTTCGTGCCTTCCTCTTTGGTTTCCCTTATGCCACTTGCTCTTTCCTTCTCTTTTGAGTCTTGTGATGTGTCTTTCTCCTGCGACAGCCTTGGGCAGGTGCTATCGACTCCAAGTGGGAAGGTGGGGTAAGTGAATGAGGTCGTAAACGAGTGTGTGGGGTGTGTGATGATGTATGATGGATGCCGTCAAGTCAACTGGTGGTGTGTTGCTGATGAGACTGAGATGTTGGTAAGGTAGTAGATGCTACTCGAGCCACCATGGGAGGACGTTGTTGTTTCTCGGTGGAAATTACGGCTCGGGCCTGGGTGGTCTGTGCTGGTCCAGAAACTCGGGTCCGGGTGTGGCTGCCGTGACTGTCTGTGCTTTTCGACGGGAGCTTATAAGAATGGGACGGGAAGGGGCGGGAACACCGGTATATGAGAACGTCTGAGCTCACAGCCTGCTTAGTTGTTTCCCTGGAGAGCCTTGCTGAGGATGGGGCCCCCTGTTGGTCTTTCCTTTCCCTTGGGAATCCTGTCTTTGCTTTTTGTGGGAGTGCGGCGGGAGTGGTGGTGCCCTGCGAGTGCCCAGACACAGAATGTGCAGTGACGAGGGATGTTGAAGATGGGGCTAGGGGTACCTGAGGTGTGGGAATTGGAGCAAAGGAAGGTGCAAAGGAATGTTCCCCGAAAGAAGACTATCTGGAGTCTGGGACCAATTTTGGCGAGTGAAGATCACTGCTCGAGCCGGAAAATTGAAACTTTAGCGAAGGTGACCTCAAGACGACGGCATGGTTGAAAATCTGCGCCCATCCCCGTCTACCCCGTCAGGCCCGTACCCTCGCAGCCTCATTCAAGCTTCTTCTCCTGACGCTCCTGGTCTCACTGTATCTCACAGTAGATATCAGGTTACCCACTTGTTGTCCTGGAGAAAGTCGCAACCGACAATCTAGGCCTACAACAGGATGGTTGCTCCGTCGGAAGTGCCTCCGGGAGACGAGAACATAACAACCTTTTTATTTTTATTTTTTTTGTGTTGTGTCTTGTCCGCCTTCCATCGCATCTGGATAGCCCACTCCTTTCCGCCATCCTGGCACATGAACCTAACGCCTGGGTCGCCAGTGTGCCTGCCTCTTCAGTTGTCAGTTGTCACCGAACACTTCCACTTGTGGTAGCAGGGCGGGCCTCTGTGGGTGGGCACTTGCCCATTTGACACTGACACCGGCAGAAGCTGGGCACGGTCAACGAGACCCTCCTGACTGGGGCCTGGGGGGAGGAGCAGGACGCAAGGTCGGAACCAGGCAAGCAGCCCGCTCTCAATGTGACCATCTCCCGCCAGCACCTCTGTCCGCCACATTTGCGGTTTTCACCGAAACGCTGACCCGGCTCATGGGAATTGGGGCATCAAACGAAAAGGCAATCAAAGGCAATCAAAGGTAACCCAAGGCAACGGGCAAGGACGTCCGGGTCCCATTGTGTCCGCTTTGTCCGCTTTGCCCGCCCAAAACCGAAGAAACAATGTGCTGCGGTTGAGGCGTGCAAATAGACACACGGAAAGTGAGGTGACAGTGTCTGGCACTTTTGCTCTCCGGGCAGGCAGCGAGGGCATTCATTCAGTCCAATGACGGCAAAGCCAAGGGTTGCAGAAGGCCAGGCCCACTAAAACGTACTGCGTAGCTGCCGGAAGACGGTAAGTGGATGACTTGAAGACATGTTGACCACTGGGATAGCGGCCTGGGAGCCTATGGAGCCTGTGTCGTTATCCACTCCCACTCCGCAGAGCACTCGACATACCCGGTCCTTGCCCCCCCTCAACCTCAACCCAAAGTTAGGGGACCCATTCCTTTTCCTGTGTTTTGGCGAGAGATTGCATCGAGGCGGTCGAGGCGGTGGGAGGTGGGAGAGGAGAGGCGTCCATATGTTTTGGACAAAGACATCAACACCATGTCTGAGATGTCCAAATGTCGAATAATCTCGTGCTCAGATTGGCCGTGGCCTCGAGCTGAGCAGCACGGCCTGGGGAGCCTGTCCAGGTTTATATTCGATTGACTTTGCTTTTCTCCAGGCCGTCGTGATCGGGGCCTGCGGGTTATGTGCCGATGGCCCAGTCCAAATTTCTCAGACATAGACTTACCGACACGGAGTGAGTGGTGTTTGCGCCACCGAAAACACAAGTTCTCGAGGTTCGCTTGCGGAGGGAGGCTGGAGGGGAGTCCGGTGAAGGAAGTCTGGTTTAACTCGAATTTCTGATGTTGGCGGTGCCGCACACGGCAGGACACGGCTGACCGTATTCGTGCGTCAACGTCCAGTGCTGCTGCGGGTGGCCTACCTTTATGTATACCGCCTGGACGGCGTATATAGGTACTTTGTGTAACGGAACAATTGTGAAGCCACTTGGCTGCGCATAACATACATGACGGTCGCGCGGTCGGCACAGACGGCAGAGATGCAAGCACCGACACGTGCCACTCCCCAAAGAAACCTCAAATGGCGCCGGCATGGGATCGGCACGGAAACGTGTTGGCGTCCACGAGCTGCTTTTCCCGACCCTTTTCCCACCAAACCCAGCAGAAGTTTTGCTTCACCGTTCACCGCGCAACAAAGGTAAAAAAAAAAGGCTGGGCCGTCGGAGAGGCCATTGGCCACTCACAGCCACTGGCAAAAGGAAGCGGCGGATGGCGGCGGGGTTGAATAAGCTTCACCGAAGGAGCAAAGATGCAGATGAACATGCAAAAACGACAAGTCCCCCCCGTTCGGGGACCTTTTTGGGTGTTGATTTTCCCTCGTCGAATAGAGATCAACATATTACACGTATGTCGAGTTCCACGATCCCCTCTGGTTGCTACATTGCAGAGTAGGGTTCTCATTCCCAAGTGGAAAAAACGTCGGCGAGCTGTTTCATGCTGAATTCATACTGTTGCTTCACTTCTTTCTCTTCACGGCATGTTTTTCAGGGTCCAAATGTCTCAAACCCTTCAGCCAGAAGAAGAACAACACCAAAAACATGCGTATACTGTACCGTTGAAGAATCGGTGAAAGTCTGGAAACTCGCCCCAACACGTGAGTTGACGAGATCGGTTCCTGAGAATTATCACCAACCAATGGCATTACCGTGGATGCGGATTCTTCCGATTCCCATGTCAATTCCACCGTCAATTCAAAATCCCGCCCCTGTTTTTCTGCATGACTAAGAAGGAAGGGGTAATTAAGACCGACTTGCACTAGCTCTGGTTGGAGTGTGGGCACATAGCTTCCCTGTTCCTTGCTTTGCTTCTTTGTTTTCTAACCCCCAAATCCCTGCCGAGTATATACCGACTGTCCGACTCGATATCTTTGGCACCATGTTCTGCTTGCGCTATCGAATTGCGCCCCTCCCCAGAAATTGCTGTTGGATGATGAAGACAAGAAGCTTTTATCATGGCCTCTTCCAGGGCCCAGGCACACACCTTTTTTGTTTTGCGGCTCGCTACACCCGCTTTTTGGGGTTCTTAGACCGAACGCAACACTGCACAATCGAGAGACACTTTGTGCTTCTTGTTCGTCAAACCGATCTTCCCCTCCTTTCCAATGACACCGTACGATCTGCGAACCATCTCCCCAGGTCATACACGTGTTTCTGTATCTTGTATCCGTACACTACAGTACCTAGCATTCTTAACCCGCTGCGTGTTGCATGGAAAGCTTTCCCCCTTCATCCCTACACATCAAGCCAGACCGCATCACGGCATGATAAAGAAGCCACTACAAAACTACCCCAACACACTCCCTCCATAGCATACGGACGCTCGCAATCATTACCAATCATGAGAGATCACAGTCAATGTGGTGAACATGGTCTACAGACTCGTAAATCCCCAACAACGGAATCCACTCCGCGCAACTTCCTGGCCCCAGTATGGCCTTCAGTTGGTCTGCCAGCCTCGCCATCCCCGCTCTCTTTGCTTAATTCATGGAAAATCCCACTTTACTCGAACCAGACCCGACCAAGATACCGGTGGCACGGGTGGGCAAGGTGGGCCAAAAAGCGGACTCGGAACTTCCTCCACTAGACTCGAGTCGGTTACTGCCCGCTTTACTGCTCTCGATAGACCGGGCTCTCGCCCACCGAACCGGGCAAAGCCTGGCCTGTTCTGGCACCAAACCAACGAGCCTCTGGAGCCTTTTCCAAGAAACTACCGTGACTAGAGGATCATGAAGGTCACCGACACGGGCAAAGGGTCCGTTTTGTGGACTCTTCGGGGTCCTATCGCGGTATTCCAAAGCCCCGATATCTATCAAACGTATCCACGATGCGCACAAAGTGGTGCTCCCGGTTCCAGCGGTGACCGGTGAATTCGCGTGGCACTTGCAGATAGCCCGCTCGTGCATGTGCTTCCGTTGCAAAGTTTGACGGATGTCAGGCACTTTTGTTGGGTTCCGTGTTGCAAGTGCATCATTTCCAATCCGTGATCTCCGGGGGCCCGGGGGAGGGACGTCCCCACGACCGGGGGGACGATCCTACTTTATAAGTCTCCCGTCCCGGCCCCGAGAACGGGTGGTGTGTTGTCTCACCGTAAGCCAACAACAGCTCTTCACCTCCTTACGCCAAGCCCGCCGCTCACCCGCCGCTCACCCGCCGCTCACCCGCCGCTTACCCCCCTCCCCCCTCATTACCCCCTTGCTATTTAAGCTTCACCCTTTCCCTCCTTGAACCCTCTTACTCTTTCGAAATGAAACTACCTATTGTTTTTCTAAGTCACTTCATAGCCATGGCCACAGCTGTTCCACTAGCAGGACTCGAGCAGTCCTACGACTATGTCATCGTCGGTGGTGGCACCGCCGGTTGCGTTCTCGCTAACCGTCTCACCGAGGACAAGGATGTCCGCGTCCTCCTCCTCGAGGCCGGTGGTGACAAGACTACCGACCCCGTGGTTCTCACTCCCGGTCTCGTCTCCGGTGTTTACGGCAAGGATGAGTACGACTGGAACTTTGAGTCTGTTCCTCAGGTAAGTGTTTACTCACTCACTCACTCACTCACTCACTCACTCTATCGGTAACACCGTGATAAGAGAAATCCAGGGGCTAACAAACAAACACAGTCCACTCTCAACAACCGCATCGTGAACCAGGCTCGCGGTAAGATGCTCGGCGGTTCCTCCGGCATCAACTTCATGATGCTGGTGTACCCCTCCAAGGCCTCCATCGACGCCTGGGCCGCCGTCGGCAACCCTACCTGGGACTACGAGGCCCTGAAGCCTTACCTCAAGAAGTTCGCCACCGTGGACGTCCCATCGGCCAGCACCAAGGAAATCACCCACATCACCTACAACAACGACACGGTCGCTTACGGCGACGGCCCCGTCCAGATCTCCTTCGGCGAAGGGTACGGCATCACCAACGAGGGCTGGTTCGACACCTTCGAGTCGCTCGAGCTGCTTTCCAAGACGGACCAGCGTGATGGCGAGGCCCTGGGCGCCTTCCAGAACGCCAACTCCATCGACCCTGCCACCAACACTCGCTCCTTCTCCGCCGTCGCCTACCTCACCGCCGAGGTCCGCGCGCGCGAGAACCTCAAGATCCTGACCAACACCCACGTCAACAAGGTCCTCTTCGACACGACCGGCTCCGAGCCCGTCGCCACCGGCGTCGAGATCAACGTCAACGGCACCGTCAGCCAGGTCTCCGCCAACCTCGAAGTTATCCTCTCGGCCGGTGCCCTTCAGTCGCCTCAGATCCTCGAGCTTTCCGGCGTCGGCAGCACCGAGATCCTCTCCCAGCACTCCATCCCCGTCGTGGTCGAGAACCCGGCCGTCGGCGAGGGCATGCAGGACCACCCCATCGTGTGCCAGTCCTTCGAGGTCAACGAGGGCACTCCCTCTGGCGACATCATGCGCGACCCTGCCGTGGTCGAGGCGCTCATGGCCATGTACGCGGCCGACCGCTCGGGACCCATGGGCCAGCTGACCATCTCGTGCGCCTACACCCCGCTGGTCAACAAGACGGGCGTCGTTTCCGAGCAGTGCATCCAGGACCTTTTCGCGGGCCGCGATTTCTCGGACCCTGCGCGCGCCGCCGTCCGCGACATCGTCTCGGACCCCAACGACCCGACCTTCCAGTACATCCTATTCCCGACGCAGGTGCACATCCCGGACCACCCGGAGTCTATGGCGTCGCACCTGATCCCCGTCGAGCCCGAGAACTTCCTGACCATCATGACCATCCTCAACTCGCCCTTCTCGCGCGGCAGCGTGCACATTGCCTCCGCGGACCCCAAGGCCGCGCCCGTGTGGGACCCCAAGTACAACCACGACGAGCTCGACATGGAGCTCCTGGCGCGCGGCGTGCAGTTCGTCGAGAGCCTGGTGGCGCCCAACACAGCGCTCGGCAAGCTGCTCAACCAGACCGGTCGCCGCCTGCCGCAGCTCAAGGGTGATGATCTCGAGACCGCCAAGGAGATTGTGCGCGAGCGCCAGATCTCCGTCTTCCACGTCTCCGGCTCGTGCGCCATGCGTCCCCGTGAGCAGGGCGGTGTCGTCAACGAGCGCCTCCAGGTTTATGGTGCCAAGGGCCTCAGAGTTGTCGATGCTTCCATCTTCCCTGTTGAGCCGTCGGGTAACATCCAGAGCGTCGTTTACTCGGTTGCTGAGCGTGCGGCAGATCTGATCAAGGAGGATCGCGCGGCGGGAAAGGTTTGAAACCCTCCAGTTGATTTCCAGCGAGCGTGTTGATTGGTTTGGTGGTTTAATGTTTTTGGTGCTTGGTTGGTGGCGGTCTTGTTGCCGCCGTTGTTGTTGTTGTTGTTGTTGTATAGCATTTTTGGATATACCTTTTTTTTACGTGTAGCACATGATGAATGATTAGTAGAGCTAATAATAACTTTTTTTTCACAATCTCTAGAAAAACCATGGACAGCAGGTGAAGGAGGACAAGCAGAATGAGCACAAGCCCCGCGATGAGCAGGAGCAGTCTCAGTCGTCCTCGTTCTGCACGGTCATGTAAAAGCCTGCTCTTGCTCAGGGCATTGCCGACCGGCTGGTATGCTTGAACATTGTCTTGACATTCGTCTAAGAACGTTTCAGTACTATCTTCGCTTCATGTATCATAAGAGTCTATACCCCCTTTCATGTTATGTTTTAATACCAGCATCTTGCCCACATCTACGCATCCGAAACATTCTGGGCTGCTCTGAGCGCAGCAACAACAGAGAATGCAATCACCGGGGTAGCAACGTAAGAAATCTGTCAAATCTGGATCAGTACTTGTTCCCGTGCCGACTTTTAAGGAAAGGAAAGAACTCACAGTAAGCAGCTTAGCCGTCGCCATTTTGGCCTGTTGCGGCAGGTTCTCGACGTCAGCAAGCGCCACCAGCCTCATAGCAGGCGGGCCAATAGGCATCATCATCATGGTGAACCACAAGATGGGGTCATCAAACAAGAGACCCGTCTTCTTGGCCAGCACCCAAATAATAGGGATGCTCAGCGCCGGCATTACCAAGAATCTCCAAGCGAGGATGAAGACGATGCTAGGCCAGGGCACACGTCCTCCATCATCGCCCTCCTTCATCTTGCGCAAGCTAAGACTGAGCTTGACACCGACAATAATAACCTGGAGGGTAACAAACAGTTCGCCAGTGTTCTTGATGGGGGTGGTAAGCCAGGCCTTGAAGTATCCGCCCTCCTGCGAGTCGTTGAAGAACATGCGGTGCAAAGCAGGAACCAAGCCGATCAAAACACCAGTCGACGCCCCCAAGGCCGGAGGGTTGAAGAAGGGCGCGATCCAGCTGACAGCTTTCTGCAGTGGCCCGGGCAGAGCATGGTAGGTCTTGTTTTGCGCGTTCTCGATATGTCTGCTCGTGGTCTTGGCGAAGCGAACGGCTTTCTTGGGGAGAAGCGAGGTTGTCTCGGAGGGTCTGTCGCCAGAGCTACCGCTACCAGATCCGTTCTCCTCCTCGTCTTCGTCGTCCGAATTCCGACCAGATTCAGGGTCACTATCGGTTTGGCCGCCGTCGTCTTGCTCGAGAAGTGCAGGGCCGTAGCCAAAGGTTAGGGTGTTGCTGATGACGGCGCAGACGAGGAAGTAGGAGCGCGCCTTTTCAACCACGTCGGGGTCATCGGTCAGGTTCTTGAGCACTCCGGCAGCGTCGAGGGCCTGGATAAGGAGGAGCGGTAGCGAGGTCGAGTTGTTGAAGGCTAGGGCGGGAGTGGTCCATGCTGGCATCTTGAAGAGGCGGACGGAGAGCTTGCCTATGACGATGGACAAGACGACGAAAATGAGGGACCAAACTGTTGTTCGCAAACAGTCAGCGACTTTCCTATCCGATACGAGGTGGGGATGGTTCCATACCAACGATTGGGAGATAACGCATGGCAGTGTCCGAATCAAGCTGCTTTCCCAAGTTGGAGACCAGCAGCAGAGGCAGGAAGATGGTGACACACAAGTGCGACAGGCGTTTGGCAGAGTTATCGTCGATGAGGTCGAACTGGGCAGCCAAAACACCGATCCAGATAGTTATCAAGACGGATATGGCAGCCTGGATGGCCCCCAAGAAGGAGACCAGGATATCTGACGACGCCATGCTATTTTCGTGTGTTGGTGTGTTGGTGTGATGTTCTGGTGTTGCTGCTGTTGAGGACGAGGGGTACCCGACGGATATGAAGGGGGCTAGAACAATACCGGCTGGGTGGTTAAAGTTCTAGCCAATATGCGGTTGGTGGGTGGTGTGAAGGTTGGCATGGATGGGAAGTCCTTGTTTTGTATGTATTGAGACGGGTTCGAGAGATAATTGTTAGTCTAGAGGTCGGTTGAAAGAGTCTCGGCATCGACGATCTGGTCGCATTACGTCACGATTCAGGGACCGTCCGATGTTTGTGTTTCCGGAAACTTGGATGACTGCCGTGCATGCTGCACCTTCCCACCCAATCGTAATGCAAAGGGACTGTTTCTTCCGCGATTTATTTTCAGCCGTCGGATTTCGTTTGTTGTTGTCGTCAAAATGTCTTCATCACCATCGGTTCTTGGCATCTACCATCTAACCATCCAGAGCACAGCATCTCCCGATGCACAAATGCAAATACCGTCACACAACAGCAATAACTGCATCACCACATAGGTAAAGTCTACGATTATTGGGACGCACAGCAATTGGTTGCAAAAAGTACGATTGGTATTGGGATATCGCAACATCATCAAAATGCTAACTACAGAGAAACGGAAAAAATGGAACCGAAGCAACACGCTCAGACGTTTTACAATCCGAGGTGCGATTTGATCTTGAGCGCTTCCCTCCTGCTGGTGCTCTGAGAATCAAAGTATGGCCTCTCGCCCAAGCTGACCGCCCTGTTACCCTTGCGCTCGCCGAGACCCTCCTCGAAGACATAGTCGGGAGTGGCAGCGTGGTACACGCTCCTGTTGTCCCAGATGGCGACATCGTTGGGGTTCTGCCACTTGAGGCGCACCTGCAGGTCGTGGTTCTCGACAATGAGCTGGGTAAACCAGTTGAGGAAGTACTTGCTCTCCTCCTCGGTCAGGCCGTTGATGCGCTGGCAGTGGTGGCCGACGGCGTAGACTGACCTCCAGCCGGTGACGGGGTTGGTGCGGATGACGGGGTGGATGGCCTCGAGAGTCTCGCCGACGTTCTCGGGGGCACCTCGCTCGCCGCTGTACACGCTGAAGCCGTTGCGCTTGGCCGCCTCATTGAACAGAGGCTGGGCGTAGTAGGCGGTGAGGGTGTCGAGGAAGGAGCGCAGGGTGGGCGAGATGCGGTCGTAGAGCTCGTAGCCGGAGGCCCAGAGGGTATCACCGCCGGTCTTGGGGAGCTGAACCAGCCTCAGGAGAGCATAGTCGCTGGGGATGGGCTCGAAGGTGATGTCGGAGTGCCACTGATCCTTGGCGCTCTGGCGGCCGGTGCTGACGCCGACGCCCTTGTACGAGAACCTGTCCTTGTATAGTGCCTTGGCTTGCTCAGAGGAGATGACGCTGATCTCGTTGTCGCCACCACCGTGCTCGCGGCTGGCGTTGCTGATGGGGTGGATGTGAAGGCCCGAAGTTGCGGGCTTGCCGGCGAGCTTGCCGAGTCTGTCAACGAGTTCCTTCTGGAGGTCATCGGTGAGGTTATCCTGCTTGCGGAAGAAGACGACACCGCGTTGGGAAACTTGATGAGCATGTTAGCGTTTAGGCTGACAAACTCGGCAGAAGTTCATGACTTACTGGTGATGGCAAGATCCCTCAGGAGCTCGTCAGAGTTGGGAGCACGGAGCAACTCCGAGAGATCGACATTGACATACTCGCGGCCTAGAGCGGGGGTAACCTCGAAGCTCTCGAACTGCTCAAGAGCACCGCTGAGCTTAAGGGCCTCCTTGTGATCCTCGAGTCTCTTGGGAAGACCTTCAGTCTCGGGAATATTGGCCTCGATGACGGTAGACTTTTGCTGAACGGGGAGGACCTTGGTCTTGATCTCGTCAACCGTCTGTTGGGCGGATTCAACTGCTGAAGGAGACATGGTGAAGGCTGTGAAGAAGGATGTTGCTGAAAGGGGTATCTTGAAAACAAAAGGCTCGATCTGCTCGATGAAGATCAGAATGAACGGTTGAGTGGCAGCAATGAGCTCCTTATATGCCAAGTATCTGCATGTCATCCAGCCGCCAAACATTCCAACAAATTGTCCAGATGCCTCGCCATGGTGTTGTTAGGTGATGCTATCGCGTCACTCCCCGCGTCGGCGATTGTTCAGTTCCGAGTAACGGAAAGTCGGCAGGTGTTGGTGTAAAGAACTCCATGGTGAAAGAGCCATCGTGTCTGACGTGAGTGGTCGCTGGCCTATGACAGGAGGCTATATAGCGGCTGTCTTCCTGAATAGGGACAAGAGGAGAGGGGAAGCTGAGTTCAATGTTGCATGGAGGCTTTCTGGTACATTTGAAGGAGGAATGGCTCAATTATAAACGTGCTTTCACCCCGCGTTGCCATCATTATGGTGGTGGAGAAGGGCGGTTTGTGAGAGGTTCCCGCTGCAATCTTGGCTTTGATCACGGAATCGAGTACGCGTGGCAGCATGACCAACCCAACCGGCCAATGTTGCACATCTATGCAAGTTACATGAAATTGGGACGGGCTTGGTTACAAATGGGATTACCAACTCGTGAATTTTTACTGCTTCTATAAGACCATTTGCCAACCCTTTTCTCTTCCACATTTGGGGCTCGACTTTGGTCTTCTCGAAGTTGTTCTTCAGACGCCAATTGGCCAATCACATCCCGCAAATTGTTTCGGCCATCTTCAACCGCCCTTCTTCGAGACGAATTAAGGTTGTTGATCTTACATGATCTCTTCTTTCCTTTTCATCCCAGGCGTTCAGTTTCATCACTGGGCAACCTTCTATCTGTCTTCGCCATAGCCAACCAAGCCACCCACGTGGGCCTTGTTAAGAGATATCTCAGCCAAGAGCCAGTGAAACAACATTGACACTGGCCGCCTCAGGAGTCGCGATAACCTCAATGTCGCAAAAAGGGACGTGCACAAAGCTGAAAGCAATTTTTACTCAAGTCTCACAGAAGATACCTCCACAGATAGCGACAGCGCTTATACTAGTATCAACATGGTCCCCATTTGATCCGCTATGACGTGCGTTTCAGACATCAGCTCATGTTCTGGACCTTTCAACATTAGGCGAGTATCGTCACCCATCGTGAGACCCAATCGGGAAATTTACCATCCCTTGCAATCTGTGTCATACCGTCGTTGTCTTTTATCCCTGCCAAGACCCGCCGTGTGCCGCCGCATATGTAACAACATGGTCAAACCAGGAGATGGGATGAACTTGTTCACCAGCAAGATCCTCTTGGCTCCCGTTGTTCGATGTTGGAATAAGCTTAAATGTTTGTTTTGTGGTGTCTCGAGTCTCGACTGTTCGATCGGTCTGTTGTGTTGGGGCGTAGGTTCAAAGTTGGGATGAACAAGTTCCCAGCCATGTACTCGTCAGGGAAAACCACTAGTCAGACGGTCGGTTTTGTAGACCTGACGGGTAATTATGTTCTTTGTCCGATGATCGATAGATCTCTGAACAAACCTTCCATTCACTTTCTGTTGACGCTTTCCCTCCATTACTTGCTTGACCTGTGCAATATCAACGGTCTTATAGGCTCGTTTATCTCCTTCAAAATAGCTGCGCCTCCAGGATGGAAGGAACGACCGTACCTGAGAACCCAAACAGCCAAGAAAGGCCAAGCATCAACATTACTGGACTGCCCGGACGGCAGGCGCCCTCTTGGCTTGTCGCACAATTTCCCTCACTGCACCTGCTTGGCTGACCTTGGCTTCCATAATGCATCGAGGCCGTTGAAGAAAATGAGACTTCCAACGACGCCTCCAAGTTCCAACCGTTCTTCTGTGCACGGTTGGGAATCGTGACGGCGACTACCGAAACATTACATGTACCGCCGCAACCCCCTTGAAGTTATCATCATCACCTTCGCCCCCCGGTAGGAGAGAGTCTAGACTCATGACGACCTAGAATTACCTCTTGAGCTTCCGGTTCGTAGTAGTAGAATTTCTTCGAGCTCTACCTTTCACTTCCAAGCACAGTGGTCAGGGATACCTGGTACAAGATATCTTTCCTTCCCAAGAAAAACAAGCTCAACTCCAAGCCGGCAGATATCGTGATGCACCCCCAGGCTGGGGTCAACCCGTCAAACCGGCCAAGAGAACCCGAATACGGAAAGTGACCGTTGAGTGTCTAGACCCAGCCCCAGTCCCAGTCCCAGTCCCAGTACCAGTCCCAGTTACAGGTAAGCAAACAAGCAAGTCAATGCTGCTGCATGTTTGTACCTGCGTGTGCGTCTTCTTCCCCAGCTCCCTCCCCCAGACAGGCAGACAGACAGACAGACGAGCCAATCAACCTCCTCGTCGAAACACAAAGGGGTTGTTATCGTCACGATACCCGGGGGATTGACTGGATGCTTCCTTTCCCTTTCTTGTCGCTCGGGTGTAGATTGGTCCGCTTGATAATATACACTGGTAGCGAGGCACATGGAGTGCATCTTTCTCTTCTCGGCGAGGATATCTAGACCTCAAGCACCCACTCACTCTGGTCAATAATTCTTGTTTGCTCCATTCTAATCATACGATCCTTTGGTTTCCATTACTTCACTTCTTCTTGTGTATTTCCCCATTTTGCCTTCGACAGGAATAGTTTTGGTTTGCTTGTCATACGTCAGTAGGTCCGGAACCACTGACTGATACCCCATAATTCGTTGTTCTTGTTCTTTTCCTTTTTTCTTGTTGCCATTAGCCCAAGCATTGTTTGCCTCCTGCTTGACTCCCCGCACTCCGCATACAGATACATTGCATATATCTGTTCTTCTCAGTACCTCAAAGGAAATATTTGTCTTTTTTGTATCTCTCCCTAATCACACACATCTTCCTCCCGTCGAAAACATGGCCAGGATGCTCAAGTCGTTGATGGTGGTAGCGGCCGCGTCTGTGACGCCCGTCTGGTCGCTCTGCTCGCACAATACCTTCCTCCACCCGCGAGAGGAGGGCAAGGTCGTCGAAGTCAAGAAGTTCGGATACACTGGCGTCACCGGTCCGCTGTTCTGGTCGTCGCTTGCGCCCGAAAACACCGTCTGCTCCACGGGCACACGGCAGTCCCCCATCGACATGAGGGAAGGATCCTTCAACATGTTGTCCTCGTCCGATATCCAGGTCGAAATCCCCGATTTCACCAAAGGCACCGAGTTCGAGAACCTCGGAACCACCATCGAGGTCATTGCGAAGGGTGGCTCGATGACCCTCGGCGAGAAGCAGTATACTCTGCAGCAGTTTCATTTCCATTTGCCTAGTGAGCACTTGGATAATGGTACTATCCGAGCCAGTTAGTTTCCTCTAAGCCTCTCATGTAGTCAGCAGATCTCTAACAAGTTTGCAACAGTGGAAATGCACATGGTCTGGCAGACCGAGAACCAGGAGATTGCCGTCATCGGCACTTACATTGACGTCGCCACGGAGGCTGGTCCGGCACTTGCCATTCCTCCCGTTGCCGCTCCTGCTCCCGCTCCCAGTGGCGCTCCTATTCCTCCCACCAACGAGACCGTTGCACCTGCATCTGCGCCGGCCAGGTTCCGCATCAGGAGAGCCAAAAGCCAAAGAAGGCAAGAAGCCTTCGTGCCTCCTGCCACCAACGAGACGGCACCTGCAGTGCCCCCAGTGCAAGACGCTCCAGATGCCCCTGTCTCGGGTGCGCCCACGGTCCTCCTCGAGACCATTTTCAGCACCATCGACGCCATCCGCACGCCCGGCACCGTGACCCAGACCCCTCCTTTGGTGCTATCCGAGGTGGTCAACATCTGGAAGTCGGGTCACTTCCAGGGGTACGTGTTTCCTCCTCTTTTCCTCCACTCCACTATCCCACTTCTTTTTTTCCACCGCCCTTTTTCAGCTTTCGTCAGATCAACTAACCCGTTCCCGTCAAACCAACCCAACAGATACTCCGGGTCCCTCACCACCCCTCCCTGCAGCGAGGGCGTCAGCTGGCTCGTGTCGACGCAGACGCTAAGGATCTCGCCTTTGACGTTTGAGAAGGTCCGTAGTGTCATCGGCTTCAACTCACGGATCACGCAGAATGCGCCCGGGCAGGATAATATCCTGGCTATGGCAGCTATTCGGCAGTTGAACGTGTTTGCTTCTTCTGGGGCTGCGTCTCAGCCGGCGCAGTAAGAGGTTTGTTTTTTTGATGCTGGCTGGTGCGGAAAGCAGTGATGTAAACTCTAGAAAACGGGCGGGAGTAGGATAAACAATACAACGAACGGTTATGGCAATCCTACTGTAGACAGACGTCGTTGAAGTTCAACGCATCTTTGTTTTGTAACTTGGTGATATTTTCGACTCAGTACATAGAGAGTGTTCTTGAAAATTTCATGGCGTTAGCCAAAAAAAAAAAATAATTTTTGAATCAGGAGCAGTGCCTAACGATGCAAAAGAAAAGAGTGACGAGTGGGAAGGAAAAGAAAAAACAAGGCAAAAAAGAGAAGGCGTTTGTGACGCCGGGAATTGAGCCCGACGTGGGGGTCGAACCCACAACCTTGAGATTAAGAGTCTCACGCTCTACCGATTGAGCTAGCCGGGCAGCTGAAGCTGCCAGTTGGTTGTTATGCGGCCTCGAAGCATGCACTTATAACGGTGTAGTAGTTTTCCTTCGCCAACATAGGATCTTTCGTGAGAGTTGCAGGGTGACAATGTTTTGGCAGAAACTTCGAGTTGGGAATTATTTAAGCTCAGCGCTAATCTCTACAAGCGCTGATATTGTGCACACGCACGAAGTGTGTTGTTCGCTCTTGGCATGCAGTCAATTTCCGTCGTCGTTCGAGAACACTTTCAGTGATGCTGCGGGGTCGTTGACGCTGTATCTAAGCGGTTATCGATAAGATAGCGTCTGTTTAGTTCATCTCCATTTCTGGTCTTCAATTGTTCGTTAATGTCGTGTCGTCATGAAGCTTTTGATGATCTGATATTGTATGGACTTAGAAAAGAGAACAGTCGGAAATCCCCTTACTCCGCATGTTTGTCATTCGATGTTCCCGTGTCCAACCACTGCAGGCACGAACGGTTGAATCTCGCGTCACAGTCGCAGAAGTGGTGATGTCATCAATTTCCGTTGCCGCTCCCACTTACATCCCCGAGAACCTTTGTGGTCAAGCCATAGGTATAACTCCCATCACCACTACTGCAATTTGCAACCAACTTGGACAATAACAAACAACTAAACTTATAGGCTCGCGATTCCAGCATCGAAAGTAAACCAACCTAACTTCACACAACCAGCAACACCATATCAAACCACAACCAACAACACTCTAATCATCCAAAATGGTCCGCGCTACTCCCTCCATCCGCACCGCTCTCCGCCCCGTCGTCCGCGCCCGCGTCCCGCGCGCTCAGAACCAGGTCCGTTTCAGGACGACCGAAAACACCGATAGCGCTCGCGAAAACGGTCCGGTTAAGGAGTTCAACAAGACGGGTAACACCAACAAGCCATGGCTGTACGTTTCCCCGTTTCCCCTCCACTCCGCCCCAGCAACAACCTACCAGCTTTCCTGCCTTCCTCAAGTACCATTCCCACTTAAAAGTACCATGCAGTTGATACTGACTGATTGCTACGAAATAGCTTCGCCGGTGTCGCCACCCTCGCCGTCGGCGGCATCTACGCCACGATGATGGGCAAGCCCGAGAAGGCTGCTGCTGCCTCGCAGAAGCTTGATTTTGTTGCGGACGGGAAGAGTGCGCCTCATAACCTCGCTGTTGGCAACGCCAAGTAAACGAAGGAAGGATCGATCATGAGTTTTACGACTTTTTGCGAATTTGGGATTTGGGAGGAGTCACTTGCGGGATACCTAAGCGTTCTTTTTGAGTTTTTACCTGCCTACCTTAGCTGATGAGATAGATAGGTGTGCGACACATCCACACAAAGGAAGGGTTGGATGATTACGAAAGCTTGGTTTCCCGGCTTCCTACCCCCAAAAGTAAGAACGGGCGGATGATGGGGCCGGCGAAGTCGAAGACGGACAGACAGACAGACAGAATGCAATGAATGCTTCCCAGCCTCGAGATAGGATTGGAGCTGATGTTATAAATGCTATTGCAATACGATGATGATTCCTTTTAAGCTTCAGATCAGTTCAAGAGAGTGTGCAATTGGGCAGTTAGGTGCTCTCCCTCGTCTCGTTGAGGATGCAGTGGATGGATGGTTAAGAACTTCGTTTATGTCGGACGGTTACCAACTCGAACCCGTCTACTACAGGACGCCTGCACCGCACACCACGCCATGGGGAAGGCATCACGGAAAGTGCAAGGAGCACAAGGAATTGGGCAGGAACACACAGCTACAAAGGAAGGAGCGCGGAGGCACTCACAGAAGGAAAGCCGGTAAGTCGCTAAAGGTAGTTAGAAGGCGGGTTGTTTGCAACCACTTGCTCACATATAATGCCCTCTCCACCCGTCCCTTCCAACAGCGAATCACAAAGCCCGCATGGCTCAGTGGTAGAGCGCATCACTAGTAATGATGAGGTCGTCAGTTCGATTCTGGCTGTGGGCATTTCATGTTCTTTCGCTTTCTTTTTCTTTCCCCTTTCCCACCCACCCTTTGCAATGCTCGTCTTTTTGCGTTTCTCAACAAACTCATTTTGTTTCAACTCACGCACAGTCTGTCCTATCTATCTATCCAACACCAACTAACCTACTGGG